GGTGTACCATACAGGTATACTACAGTATTGCTATTCAGAGCATACAGTCCGGCCAGGGTTTAATTATTATTCTAATCAATACATTTGTTTTCATTTTATCGGAATCGGTATAATTAATATATTATATACTACGGCATTAGCGCTTACGCAGACGCGAGTTAGATAATAATAATTGTCCGAATTACGAATTATAGGTATTTTCTCTTTTTTTGTTTTTTTTTAGATTCCGTGTAGGTACTGCCCAAAAGACTAGTGGTTTAACTAAGATGTGTGATATTTTTTTCTCGAAAAATACTTTGACATGTTCCGATGCTCTGATCTTTCATGCAGTACGTTAAAAATATGAATTCTTCGCCTAGTGGTGCATACTTTATTTGAAGAAAACAAACCATCTGGAATCACCACAATGTTCTAAAAAATAAACAACTGACAAAAAATGTCAATACATCGGTTCTATTATCGTTATTAATATTTCCTGGGTTACCTTGGCTATAAGAGTACAAAATACGATTAATACTACTTGGCTTCTCAGAATCGTTTTTATATGGCAATTGTTATTTTTTGCTTTTTATAGGTTTAGGGATACTCGTATATATTAATTAAATTTTCCTAAATCGGCTGGAAATTTAAAAAAATAATTACTTGGTAGTGATAAGAAAAAGTTGAGTGTAATGTAGTAGTTTTCTATATAAGCTTTTCTAAGTTCTAAACTTCAAATTTTAAAATCATTCCGGCCTTCAAAATCCTCCATCCGCGAACAGTTAACAACCATTGAATAAGATAAAAAATGTAAATAAATTTAAATGTAACACGATTTTGGTCGTATTACTGAATGAAATAAAAATAAAATAAAATATGTCTCAACAATTATAAAGAAGAAATATGCTCAAAAAATCAACAGAAAATATGCATTTATATACAAAATATAATTATAAATCTAGCTTTGTCTTAGCATAAAACGTATTCGTTTCTCTCTTTGGTATTTTTTTTTATAGTGTAAAACAAATATTCAAATGCTACAACTCACAAGTCCTCTGCGGCTCTGCCCTAGTAATCACAATGTGTAATACAATTTTCAATTTAAATTTATCAATACATATCCAACCGAAATTCGCTCGAATCGTTTGCAAGCGTTGCATATAACGATACCTATATAAATCAAATCGCCCTCCATACCTAATAAATTTCTTAATTACAATAGTAACCCACCAATAAGCAACACAAATGAAAAGGCTATGGTAAGTCAATTGAAAATGTTTGAAGATTAATGTGTGATGGAAATGGGTTGTATTAGTGTATCACCCAAGTCATTAAGACTAGTCTATATAGGACGTTTTACTGAAGAGCAATAATAACTGTACGGTGCAGAACGAAACTATTAATGAGTTTGATAAATATAAAAAGAAAAATAATTCAAATTATAAAAATATGTTTATACTATTAGTATTCAGTTTAGGTGCTCAGTAAAGTGTAACCGTACTTTGGCCAAAACCAAAAATTAATATGGGTAAAATAATGGCAGAAATTGGCACGGGCGACGCCGGGCGCGGGACTGCTAGTATATTATATTATCATTTTCTCAGCGGTTAGGTTAGGTTAGGTGGTCCTTATCACATATGTATCCGCGTACGAAACGTACGGTGTTAATTACATGTAAATATATATTTTTTTTTTGCCAGAAAAAAAAAAATTAACGAAAAGAATTTCCATAAGAACTGGGGCATGGGTCAAACCTGCCTGTATCGGTAAAAAAAAAAACGGGTTTATAACAATATTACGTATACGTACGCGTTTACTGTTGTGATCCGCGTCGATCGGGCGGGAGCAACGGCGGGGAGGGTAGAAGTCGCGGGAAAATCGTCGCGCGTGCGTTTCAAAACTGCGCGGCAAAACGCGTGTAACCGCACCGTGCCCGTAACGTCGCACGGCCGTCGGACAGAACGGCGACGCCGGCGGTGCGGCGGGCGCGCGCAAAACCGTGTCGGAACGCCGTTCGTTTTCCGGTCGTAATTTGCGGCCGTGACACGGGGGGCGACACGCCTTGGTCTGGATGCGAAATTCGTAATTATATCGGGCGCATATTGTGTGTCGCGGACCGCGCGTTTCGAACATATTGTGCGCGGGCGCGGGCAATACCGGGCGCGTGCGACCGAATAACAACCGAAACAGCGGCGGTTAAACGGATACAGGAACGATATTGTGTACGCGTGCCTACGGTCACTGCACTCGTGTGGGCGGTACGGCGAACGCCGCTCAATGCGGTTCGCACATCGGTTCGGATTTCGTTGACCGGTCGATTCCACAAGACGATAATTTTTCTTTTTAACGGTTCCATATTCATAATTTACGTAAACTCGGAATGAAATAAAGAAGCTCGGGATCTATTTTCGATTCTACTTGAGAATCTACCAATTCGATTTTTATGTTAGTTCCGAAATTAAAATCCATTACACAATTAATGTACAATAAACAAAAAATACATACAACTATAATAAAAACGGACAGTACCGTAAAAACGATAAGAATGTTCATAAAAGTGTTTCAATTATCCGGTACTTGGCGGGTTCTAATAAAACGGTAATTTGTTACATTAACGACGTAAGATTTGATACGGGATTTTTATTTTTTATTCCGATAAACGGTCGATTTTATAAACCGCGGATCACGCTCAAACGGAATTCGCTGTATTATACGTATGTATACCGTGTTGAACGGATCAGCTCTGAACCTCGGGTATTTAGCCGGGCACGTTTCGACACGTTTTTCGGGACCGACAAATATGATATTAACCTAACCGTATGTTCATATTCGGTTACCTATAATTATTATATTACGTTATTTAAACGGCCGCGAATTTACGCGGTTTACGGGCGGATTGTCTGCACGACACTTTAATACCCATTCCTCGCCAGAGTTATGGGATAACACGCACTGCGGGTAAATGCTGCGCCAATACCCGATGCTATCTCGATATCCCTAATGGATATGATGATTACGATTTCGCGATAGCAGACGAAAATAATCGGCTGGTCTGTTACACCGTGTATGCACAATATTTAACACCTAACTGTATAATAATAATAATAATCCGATTCGAGTCTTCGTTATTTTTCAATATTACCGAAAATAAATTTAATTTGAATTATTTCGTATTTATAATAAACCGTTTGATAGTCTATAATCGTGATAATAGCATGTCGTATATTTGACAATAAAACCGTTTTCTAAAATTATGGTGTACATTTAGTGTGAGGGAATCATGCGCATAATCAAATATGCACAGTTCAAATGGCCTTTCATAAAAAGAATAAATAAATAATGAAATAAAGGATTTCTGGTATTATTAACTTTATGATGTACTGCGTTTATTTTTTCATATTTCCTGGAAAAATGTTTAAATAATTTTAGTTTTTGAGCGGAACGAGGAATGCATTGGTTTTACGACGGTGTTTATTTTTTTTCTGTGAACTTTTCTACCAGAAATTTTACTCCAATTTTCAAGTGTTGTCCAGAAAGAAAATCTGACTGGCATAGTACTTTAGAAAGGTCTTTTTTTGATTTACCCAGGGGTTTTCATAATAAATAGGAAAACCGGGAAAAAAACATAGGAAAAATAAGACAATTTTCGAAATTTATTATTTTCAAATCGTGAATATTACGGCCTTTCAAAACATGTGTAACCGAACTCCGCTCAAAATCATTTGTTATCAGCAATGTTTAATCGTTATGTACATAGACGCACAGCCGCATAGATAAATGTAAATATACATTAAATTTCCCCTCTATCTTCCTAACTTCTCACCTACAGTAGTGGCCCGCCCATCGTACAAAGTACGTCCGTTTTTTTTTTTTAATCTCAATACTGATTTTTTGGAAATTGAAAAATCAGCTAATACATTGTATTCTTCCATACCCATTGTTGTACAGAAGTGTGGATGCGTGTGATCACTCCAAGTTAAAACATCTGCAGTACACCGTACGACTAATTACCCCTATGTAACGATAAGCACTAGTGGTTTTTTTTTTTTTTAAATCTATTTGTTTCAAAATTATATTAACAACATAGGGCCGTATAATTCTAAAAAATCGTAATTGAGAAGTTTATGATTAAGTTTTAATGGGATTAAAGTCAGCGTAACAATATGTATATCAATAAATTATAACTATAGCTAAACTATCTATTTTACATGTGTATGTCATTCTTTTGTATAAAATGTATATAAATAAAAAAAATATTTTTGAGCTATTTTAAAGGGTTCTGATTGGTAAACGTAAACCTATATGTGTTTACTTGCGCTTGCCTTAAAATTTCCGTTTTATTTTAGATTGAAATTTTAATAATTTATTCTATAACAATAGTATTGAAGTTCTATCACTCCCGGATGTAATAAATAAGCTGTGGGTATTGCACCATACATACTGACACCGCGATTTTCTGCCGACGATTCGTATAAAACAATTTTAATATTATGTCGATCGGTACAAAAAAAAACATAATAAAACAAACAAAAAAAAAAAAAAACCACGACGGTGTAGTGGCGCGTCCTGTCTTTTAGAAAACAAAAATCATTACCTATATTATTTTATCACCTTTTTTTTTTTTTTATATATATACGAATAATAAATGAAAAAACCGCTGAAACGACGGCGGTTGCGGTGCCCGAAGAAAGCGTTCCGTGGCAATACAGAATGCGACCGAACCGGAACTGCTAATTATCATCGCGTTTGACAAACATTGATATACATTATGCCTAGGTACGAAATGATTTCGGTCTTGTCACGCGATGTTTCCGGGACAAGAGACCATAATGTTATTGTATAGTAATAATATGCATACTACAATATCATAATAATATTATATAGGTGTAGGTACGCCGCAGGTGAAACGTGAAACGCCACTGCGAATGTTATAATAATGTTATAGTTTTCAATAGCGAATTTTAATACAAACAATAATAATAGTAATAAATAAATAAATAACTAAATATTATACAAACAATACGCGAATAATATAATAAAAAAAATATTATAATACACGAGGTGTGTAAGGGGGAAAAACTATAATATCATTGATAACCTAATATATTAAACATATAGGTATAGGCAGCGGTTAAAGTGGGGAGGACTTATTTAAATGGTTGGGAAATTAATTAAGAAAAATTATCCGTTCTCGTCAATTGAAGTCTTCAAAGTCCGGGGTGGGAGAGAGGTAGAGAAGGTACGCTTTAATTATTATTACTAGTGTAGTCATGTGTACTTTTAATGAAATTTGACAAACCCGAATTCATTTTATTAACAATTCTTGAATACTTATAGTGGCATATATACATAATCAGACTTTGTTTTACTTTTTTTTTACCGAACAGGCATATGCACTGGGTATAAATTACCCATTTATTATTTGGGGGGGGGGAATACAGTTTTATGAACAAACTTAATGTATGTGGGAGACAAACATTTCGAATGTCTTGTTTACGTGACGGGTTTCTTAAATTTTGGTTGGATTAAGTTAGTTTTACTCGGGATAACGCTTCTCAACTTTTGATAAATATAGTCCCACCTCAAAATTTCTCCCACTTTAACCACTGGGAATAGATATCAATTCACAAGTTCCTGGGGCCGAACTCTTCTGTCATAGGAGTCCAACCACCGCTGGGCGTTTGGAAATCGACGTTATACGGAGCCATCAGATCGGCTTTTCGCTGCATAACGTCCTGCCGACGGACCTCGGGAGCCGAAGGGGTTTGCGGTGACACGAAATATTCCATAATCGGATGGTAATTGTAATTGGTCCTTGTGGTCTGATACGATTCCGACGGTTCAATCGGAATTTTTTGAGTCGTTGCCCTGAAGCGGAAATAACAGTAAGATATTAATTTTAACGTTTAATATGATGTTATACGTCACATAGACAATAAGATGATACTTAAAACTGCTTTATGATTATAAATAAAAAAAACTGTTATTTTTAATATTAATATGTCTCGATAGTTAGTATTTTGAGTATACATTTTAAACCTGATTAAAAATATTAATATATTTTTTAAAAAAAGGGCTGATACTAGTGTTTGGTGTGCCATGATTTTAGGAGAAAAGTTTTTGAGTTTCATAACTGCAGATAAATTTTATAAAAAGTAACTGCTCATTTGGATGAATCACTATTATTTAGGTGGCTTGTTGGGGAGATGGGCTTTAGTTTATAGTATGGTACGTAACAATAAGCCATACAAACATATTTTAATCATAAAAACGATTTTAAACAGATAACAAGATAGGTAACCAAGAAATAAATAAAAACTAACAAAATTGCCAATTTTCACAATTTAATTATGAAAACTACAATGAAATTAAAAAATTGACCTCTTTAACTCACCAACTAGATCAAAAACGCTACAAGAAATTTTTTATTAAGTTTTCGATTGGAGTAAGACTACTGGAAAACACAGATCATAGTAAAACCAATAAATTCTCTGCTTCGCTCAGAATCAAAAAACAATGTGAGGTATGTTACGCGATGTTTTTATTATACTTAATATATTTATACATATATATTGATTCGTATAAAACCAAGGAGAGAGAAAATAGCAATATTGCGAATATTATATTATGTCGGTAGCTATTAGATAATATTTTCACGCACGTCAATAAAAATTCAATTTCAGAAACACCAAGTATTTTATTTTTTATACACGAAGAAGTATGTGAGGAGGTTGTTTTATAATTTGAATAACACGAGAACCTTATGGATAGTTATGTGTTTTATATTCAAACTTTTTTGAGTCTATATTAAAAAATGAAGGAAAATACTGTGAAATGTTTAAGGTTCGGAATTCGGTATGTTTACAACTACTACGTCATTGGTCGTAATAAATAAAAAAAAAAAAATACTTCATAAAATTTAGATTACATTTTAGTATCACATAACTATACACAAATATTCGAGAAAATAATAAACTGTATTCGGTTTATTGCAACATTTTCGTCGTATTTTACACGTATATTTTTTGGCTTTATGTGGACAAAAGGCTTTTAAATTACCGCAATAATAGACCGAATTATTTATAGCGTAAACTAACATTCATTATGTACACTGTTATGTTCAAAATAAACTATGTAAACGTGTCTAATAGTCCAGTTACACCCTCTATATTAAAATATAGAAAACACGATGACTTATCGACTTACTATAAGTTTTCCTCAAATAGTATAAATAAGCTAGTCACTATATTGTTATAACATCAAGTGTATTTATTAAATGAAAACACTACTGCACAGCCGTATTGGAAACTGCTAACAAATGCTAACGACACGCGATTCTACGGCAAGTTTGGTTAAATATGTTTTTAAATGTCGTTATTTTTACAATTTTCGTCAAAGTTCTAACTTAAAATACATGTGAAAAAAAATTAATGCAATTATTTTTCACATGTATTTTAAGTAAATTCGACCACTTTTTTTTTTTTACTACTAAGTCTAATTAAAAATTATGATAAACCTCGTATAAAATGTGCGAATAATTGTAACCGTATAAAACCTAATAAAAACTAGAAGATTAAAAAATGTAAATTGTCTATAAATAGCTCAAAACTCGCCAGAATGTTTTGAACATTTTACCACGTCTAGAAAAAGCGAATGCATTCTGTCAAAATGTCTAGTCTCTATAATTGTTTTCAACTAAATTACGATAAGAAAATCAAACTATTATTTCGAAAATTGTTACCTTTTTCCAATGTTTTCTTCTAGTTATTAAGAAAATTACAGATAAAATTAAAAAAATGACCTCAACAATGCACCAACTAGATAAAATTTTCTTTCTGAAAAGATTCTACACTTGAACATCGGAGAAGGTATTCCAAATATCTCGTTGCGCTCAGAATCTTAAATATACAATTTTATAGGTACGTTATTATCACACTGTCGATTTTGTTAATTTTATTATTGGTAGATTTCTAGTGAAATTTCGAAAACAACAATTTCAATAAAAATATCAGAAATACATATGTAAAGCTTAATCATCGGTAAAATTTAATATAATAATATATAGATACCAGGTAGGTATATTTTGTGTATTTCAAAGTTATTCACAATATAAATCTTATTTAAAACATTCCCTCGAACAGTTTTTTACGTACCTACATATCTAACGAGTGTTTCAAAATCTAGAAAACAGTATAAATGTAATCTGGAAATTCGTTTAAAAGACCAGAAAATAATGTAAAAACTTAACAATACATTGTGTAATACCTATTCTGATAAAATTTAACTCGCAATGTGTTATCAATCTAAATCCACTAATCATAAATAATTTATGAACAAATTTATAGAATTTTATACTATTTTATACTATAAGTGAAATTTAAAATACATATATTCATTATTTTAAACTGTAATGCAATTTAATTTGAACGCAAGTGCCAAGTAGTAAACCTTTTTTTTTTTTTAATTTTATATACATACACACAAACATACACACATGCATGTATGCATGCATGCACACATGCATAATAACATAGGTACATGGATTATATACATTTATATATTATACGAGTAAATATATTAGTACGGTGTGTAATCTGATAAATAAAAAACCAAACTGTAATTGCTTGGGCTTGATTCTTTGTTTTTCATTTCTTTTCATAATTTAATATTAACTCATATATTATTGCCTATTATCTATGGCCCGATAAAGGAACTCGTTCACTGGATATAAGTACTTCAATATTTATTTAAAACTTGTTAATTTTAGTGCAGCTCAAACGGTTCCTGTCCTTTGTATATTGGCACCCAAATCACGTTCCTGATAATACTTTAATTTCTAAATGGCTTACATATTCGACATCAATAGCATAGTTGTACCACCAAGTTGGTAAAACTATGACGTTACAAAATCGAAAAACCGACTATTCAGTTTCCTACTGTTAAACTCCAACATCGAAATGTTTTAACGAGAACAAATACATTTATGATTATTTTTAAAATTATATTTGAAGTTTTACTGACAAATTCTATCATTTAAACTTAATAATTAAATATATATAAATAATAATTAATTGTAAATAGTAACTGTAACATGTATATAATATTCTTGTTAATAACGATATAGGTAAATTTTATTATTTTTTAATCAAGCTTTAAACTATCGATATTTATTTTCATATAAAATTTAAAAAGACCGACAAATTTTTAACCTCGACTCTTATGAGACAGTCCAAAATATCCATGAAATAAAAAGGAATTTGTGTTGTTGAATACGGGGGCAATTTGGGAATTGACGTATTCGTAGGAACTAGCGCCAAATAGACTACAGCTGTTGTTTTACCCATACACAATACTTCGGTTGGAGTAATATTTTTGTTTTAGCAAAAAGAATACATTTTACATTATAGTGTAGATTCGACACCTACACATTTAATGGCATGATTGGTGTGAGTAGTGTATCCCTTACTAAGAATGTACAATTATTTTAAAAAAACAATCATATTATGTTATTAACTTATGTTTGTTGTTAAATATATTATCGTATATCTAAACATGAAAAAAAAAACAATCAAAAATATATATAATTCATAGTATATTGAATAAAAAAAAAAAATAATGTTACTTATTAGACTATTTAACAACATTTAATCACTACAAATATACGTAGATAAATATTTCACATTTTTAATGCATAACAGGGACAATAACTATGTAGCGCCTATTCCAATCTTAAATTTTTGAAACTGCATTAATAATAATTGTGAATATTAATCAATATCATTTAAATATATTTTTAGTAATATAAGTAAGTATCAATTGTTTGTTGCCAACAAAATATCTGTGCCACATAAGTTAAGTAAATAAAGTCGCAAAAAATAAATCTATAACAGGAAAACTCCCACGCTGAGCTTCTCACACAGTTCTCAACTTAAGTTAGTATTATATACCTATTAATTATTCTGATTGTTATCTATGAATTCATTGTATGATGATGGACTTAAGGTTTTAATATCCATACAAATTATATGGATACTGATTATGAAACTAATTCAATATTTGAACAAATATACCTGCGTTACTCGACTTCTGTGTATTGTTTTTATGCTATGAATAGTCAATTGTAAACGTCAAAATGAGGAGAATTCTAAAATAATCACGAACGATCGCGGGATAATGATATATTTCCCAGTGTTAGGCTATATTTTGTTTTCTATACACATTAATATAAATTAACTAAAAAAATAACTCAAACAAAATATTATAATACGATATAATATTAATAATAATTACTTAGTCCGGTTTTTCTTGTATGGCCTCCTAGTTACCGGCGGATATTTATCGGAAATCGTGTCGTGCGCTATGTTATACTGAGGAGCGATAGTGGACGGCGGTTGTATTCGCGGTTTATGAGGCGCTACTTTTTTTTGATTAGTATTCGTCGATTGTGTATGTTGATCGTCCGCTACAGAATTGTGCGCTTCGAAGTTGTCCGTGGTTAACGGATTCAATTCTTGGAGATGGCAAGAACAACACGTGGGCACCTGTGAACCGAGTCGAATATTAGGTATCGGAAATGTGCATGTAAACCTCGCCCGACAAGCGTATTATTTTGTTAGTATTCAGGTAATCATTTCGAGTTTTGATGGATAAACTTCTTATACGTCTGCATCCTGCAGTAGTGTAGGTATATTATTTCAGAAGCTATACCGTCGAAAGTACCGATTAACCTAGTAACTATACGAACAAAATACATCGATTTATACAGTAAACGAGTACCTTAAATATATCCATCGTCAATCCAGAGAATTGATCCCAAGTGAGCAGCCTATGGTAGTTATACACCTGATGACACGTCGATTTGAATTTCGTAGATACGTGAGAGCACCTCGTTTCCGGCTTCCTAAAATAATACTCAATGTATTATAGATATAGTATCGCATGAGCGATTGTTTTATGTAAAATTAACTTACAAGCATTTTTCAAGCCGCAGAGTTTGGACGTAATCTTCAGTGTTTACCACGTATTTCCATTGGCCATTTGTAGAACGAGCTTTTTTCGGCCTAGCCGTCGTTACTTTGGATTGACAAATTGCGTCCTCGTGGATACCGTCACTTCGTCTACAGCACAAATACAATTATATTATTAGGTACCCGTGTATAATTATTAATGATAGTGATTAATTTATTAAGTTTTATTAATTTAATTACGTTTACCTTTCGGATAGATTTGCATCAAACGAATCAGTAATGTTGTACTTGGGATCCTTAATCAATGCTTGGAATGCGGTTTTACTGTTGGCTGTATCTTCAATGCTTTCGATAATTTCAAGACTGCAATGATCAATTATATATTTTAATGAGTAATATTATTTTCGTTAAACTAAGTGAATTTAAAAAATAAACGAGTTCACTCATTAAAAGTTAATTGTTTAATAAATTAACTGCATTAAGTTAAAAGGATAATAATTTTTATTTTCACAGTGAAAATGATTAAACATAGAGTTACTAATTTGTTTGAAAATTAATGACCAATGTTAATCACTTAAACTTCGCATTAATTTAAATATAATTTATGATGATGCAATTGTTATGAAACAACCGTGTAACCAGAAATAAATAAGAAAAAAAATGGCCATACTTCGCACGATGAGTGGGCCACTGTTGTAGTTAAGGAGTTATAAAGGTAAGACAAATAGGGAAATTTAATTTATACCTGTACGCAACGATAAACCATTGCTAACAAAAAACGATTCGGAGCGAAATTTCTTTTATATATGTACGTAAATTTTCCCAGGTTTATTTCCTAACTATTATGAAAACCGTTTGGAAAATCAAACAATTTTCTTTCAGAATAGGTGTTACACTTAATACATAAGATTAGATTTTTAGTAGAGGAGTTGCTCACAGAATACAAAAATTTAAAAAGTAAAGTAATAATAATAATAAACATCATTGTAAAACCAATACATTTATCGCTACGTTCCGAAACTAAAATGTGATTCTCATATTATAAGGGTAGAAATCATGTATGATACTCATTCAGGAATTGAATTTCGGGAGAAAAAATATGCGAATGAATACTGGAAAATTACCTTAGAACTTTTTCAAATCGACAGACATAATAATAACTATCAACTCACCGTGACACTGAGACTAAACGAGAATTCGAGTAGCAAAATATGAAGGGATAAATTATGTGACCAGTAGAATGGTCATTTATATCTGATATCAAATCAGAAATAGCCACGTGCCAAAATGGCTGAGTGAATAAATGTAATTTTAATATATATATTTTTAAATGTCTAATTTTTTCCATGACCATTTTCGTATTAGGCCATATATTTTTTCCGAGCATTTCAGTATTAGGACATTTTCCTTTTAAGGACTGAATATGGGGGGGAGGGAAAAGAGGCTTATATATTATTTCTGGTCTTAAATAAATTACACCTAATTTAAAGTTTCAGCTCGTTGCGTTCGGTAATCTGCACGAAAAGACACGGTATCCATCCGAACAAACTTTCGCATTTATACTTGTAATCAGGACTTGGAAAAAATCGAGGTTATGTGCAATCTATTTTTGCGGGAGATCATTAAGTTTTTTATTGGATTTTTTGGATTTTCGTCTTCTAACACCAAACATAGACAAATTTGTTTAAGACAGTTATTTTTAGTTCATTCATTTTAATTTGTATTTTCCTAAACAATCATGTGAAATTACTATCTAGCTATGATAACGACTATACGCGGGGCTCTGTGCATGTGCACGGCTTGTACTGTCTACAAGCCGCCGATACTAGTAGTATTAAGAAGACGATACACATGCATTTGTTGTTTCCGTCTTACAAACACAAGATATAGTAAAAACATGCTTACGCAGAGTACACAGAACTCGCTTAGTTTTGGTTTTAGAGTAAAACAACTATTGTGAAATTAATAGAGAACAATATTACAGAGGGCAAAACGATGCGTTGTTTTTTTAAGTTATTTTTTGAAAGTTTTAACAGATTAAAAAACACGTTGGAAAATTCGTTATTTATAAATTGACTATTATACTCGGGGAAAATGATAGATCCTAAGCGAGTTCGGTGTAATCTGCGTAGTAAACGCGTTTTAATTATATAGTGCGTTTGTAAGACGAAAACGACAAATGCGTGTGTGCCGTCCTCTTAAGAGTCTGATACTATCGACGGCCCAAAACAATAGTTTTACGAGCGTTACACCGGATATACGGATCGTATGTCCACTGTACGCCGACGGACGCAGGAAATAAAGATATCAAAACCATCATCGATCAAATAGTATTAATCTAGGTCGTGTTATTTTTTTTTTTTCTAAACGAACGTCGTCCAAATACGGCCGAGTTAAAAATAGAAGTCTTTTGAACGATAACCGTAGGTAGGTATAGCGTAATAACATAACGCGAACCCCGGGCGAGGCGCGGCCGGACCCGCAGACCGGTCCCATAAAAATCCACGACCGTCCAAGACCGCTATAATAATATCGTGTTCACATACGTTGACCTCGGGGGACCGTTGTATATTATTGTAAAGTCGTTGCCTACGTACGTCCATATTATGTACGTACATGGACGTGTACGCACGCGTAGGTATGACCCGAACCTCCCGCGGTGTACGCGCACACACACGCACACGCGCCATATTAAAATACGGCGATTTTTGAACCACCACCGGTATAATACGGTTATGATATTAATAATAATATTATAATCTATACTGACTCGGGATACGACTGAACGTTCAGACAAATGTTATCGCCGAACAGGTCGCAATCGTCTAGCGGACTTTCGGCGGTGGGCGGCAATTCCGGTACCTTGCCGGGCGGCGGCTGTCTGAACGCGGTCGGCGGCTGGTGCAGCGGCAAGTAGGGCCTCTTCATACCTGTTTTTCGGTGTTAATAATAAAGATTCTTAACATGTTATTTTTTTTTTTTTTCATCTTTTAATGCAAACGTGTTATTTGGGTCAACGACCTTGAGACGGTCGTATAGGTATACCATTCAGTAACACTATATTACTTTAGACAGTCGATATAATAAATAAAATAAAACCGGTTGTACGTACTCGGTGGTTCGGGAATCCGTTGCGGGAACCGACGGATCAACGTGTTCGGCAATCGGAGACGGTTAGGAGGAACGGACAAATGGTACGACTGCGAGCAAAAAATAATTTTAAAAATTAAAAAATATGACAATTATTAAAAAAAAATCCATCATTATACACGGAAATAACGGCCACGGTACGTATAGCGTGTGATTTTGGAACGTTTGATTCCCGTCCGAACGTGAGAAGTTCGTGTCACTAAAATACACATTAAGTATATCATAATATACGACACGCAACAATATAAATTAAATAAATTTCGCACAGTTTCCGTATTTATATGTGTGCCGAAATGACAAAAGACCCACTTTCCAGGTTTTGGGATTTGCAGCTATTTAGGCGCACGTCAGACTATACGTCGGTTAGGTTACGTACATATAATGTATACTTATAGGCTCACAATAATTCGAAAAACTCCGGAAGACGAATTTACAAAACGCTCGTAACGCCTTAACCTAACCCCGATTCGTAAAAACTAATATGTTTCGGCAGTGGCGCGCACAGAAATTGTCTATAAAAGCCGGGAGGAGGTGTAGTGAATAACAACCAAATAATAAAATCGGCTTATGTTATACTTCACCTGACCTTTAAAACCCGCGTCCACAAAACCAATTTGTATTCAATAATTCAAGTTCTTCTCCATGAAACTTGGAAACTTATAATTTCAAGCATACATGACTAAATACAACCCGTTTTATCTCCCCTGCACCTACGCACGCCATTATATCGGAACTCGTTGGGAAGCAATGAAAAAAAAATGATCGTCTACAGTCCGAAGTTTTTCGATCGAAGGAAGATAACATATTTTTATTTTTTTTTTTTATTTAAGGTTAAACTTTTGTTTTACATTTCCTGCAATTAATAAATATCTTTGTTGGAATCGAATCGCTTCCTGTCATAATAATAATCCAATTCAAATTTGAATTTTTTTAAATCTATTAAATTACTATTTGAATAAATAAATACATATATATGGAAATGTCTAACTTATTGAATTTCGAATTATCCAACAGAACCGACTACAGTATGTATATTTATAATATACATTTGGAATCGGCCGTGTCATTTAGACACACGCGGTTCGCCAACAGACAAGACCGGAACGGTTAGGTTTGGTTATGTTCGGTGGGCGGTGCGTCGGTTTTTTGTGAAGTCTCGCACATTGATAACCAAAAATAATATATATACGAATAGAACATCTTTATATCTATTGCACGCGGCGGCGTATTTATACTGTGAGCGAAGAGTCTACTAGTTATCATAATGGTTTTAATGTGCTGTTACAGAATATACTGTTTTATTATTTATAACAATTTTATCAATTTAATCTGATTTGTGATTAATTTCAATAATATTTATTTCAGGCAAATAAAATGTAAATCGTCGAACTTGTTTACACGTAAGTTAACGCAAATAATAAATAATATTATTATTCTCAACATTTTCCATTGTCATAGCACCTATGGTCGGTAACACGCCTTAATATTATGTGTAACCACTTTGGTAAACTAGTTTACTGTTCGATCACAGTTGAATACATGGTATGTTCTATCCGTGTATGTAATATTATCTATGTCGATAACGACGTTTTCGAACGCGATAATAATAATCGTAATAGTAATAGTAATGCGCAAGTAGGATACTGACCCCGTAACCGGACGACGACGCCCTGGCCGACGAATCACCGGTGCCGCCCCCGCCGCCGTTTCTCAACATGGTCGCTATGTCTTGGCTAATTGGCAACAGCAGCTGAGAGTTGAGTATCTTGTTGTTAAGGTTCTGCGATTGGCCCTTGCCCATCACCATGCCGGCCAACGCGAGCCGCTGTGCCGGGCTCATGGCCTTGATGATCGGCACCACTTGGGCCAGCCGCTCCTTCATGCCGGGCTTCCGCATCGCCGATTGCACCAGTTTTTGCATGGTATCGGATTTCCGGTCGGCCATATTCCTGCAGAACACGCGGAGACCGACGAGTTTTTATTTTTTATAAAATAAATATACGATATTATGTATCGGCGGTACCTGTACGCGATAAGTAATAGGTATGCAGCAGCGGCACGAGGGTTGTGCGTGCGCAGTAAATATTAATATTAGAGAGACGCGGGTAAAGGCATTTTAATATATAATCGTCAAGCCGGGTTATTTAGTGGTACGCATATATGCACGGAGTACGCACTGTGTATGTCACGGTGTGGTACAGTTATTCGAAAATGATAAAAAACCTTTTCGGTAAAGCTACTCGATCGTCTATTAACATACTGCACACGAAATAAAAGCCTATCCGACGTGATGAAATCGGGGTTTATTTTCGAATAATTTCCTCCGTTCACTTGCCGCGCTTCCGAACGACCCGGACGAAGGAATTTCACATTTAAAATATGTATCTAGTAGTATTTAGTATTCATATATAAGTATAGAAATTACGTTTACGAGCCGTAATTATTTATCGTTATCATTATTTATGCTTATCATTTTCGAATAACTGTACCCATCGCTGTATATTATGGAGTATATTTGGGCTAATAATGATCGAAATAAAAACCCGTGACTTTCACACTACGGTTCCCTCATTGTTTCCGTTAGCCGTCGACTGATTATTATCTATTCAAAACCGTTTTAAATACGCGTATACTACACACCTACGTCCTACGTTTTATATGCCACGGTGTTTTTCCAATATGGGCGAATACCTGTATTAATTATGTTTGTCTGTGTTTTTTTTTTCCCTCTTGTCACGCGAGTTTGTGTGTACAGTCGAGAAAGGTTCAAGAGATCGCGGGCGTGGCATTTGATCGTGCTAAAAATCACGTAAATCAGCTCGCGCTGACTCCACTGAAATAGGTTCTGGAGGGAGGGGGGGCTGAGGGCAAGAGAAAGCCGGTCATCATGAACGATGTTAGGTAAAGGTAATTATTTGCAGAAGCATTTTGGCGGCCCCACGCGATTCGTGCATTTTAACACTTATTACTTTTTAAGAGATCAATTTATAGTGTCCAAATCCGGAACGGAAAAAATAAACTTCAAGCTTTCATTCGCATATACGATTACAAGTCGTGACCAATAATCGCGATTTTAAGTATAGATAGTGAAAAAAACCATTATTTTAACTGTTATCGTTTCATATCAAAATAGCATATTATTATTAATATTTAATATCCAGATTTGTTTACCGTCTAATTGCCAAACTGATAATTTGCAATTTTTTTACAATGGTGACATTTTTTTGTGAATATATATATTAAATGTCCACTCTCCCTCTTATTCCTATCATTTTCCATTTATTTTTTAGTGGATAAGAGTAAGAAAAATGTTACTTTACTGGATGTCAAATGTACTTAACCGTGTGTCCATTAAGACACAGAAAACATTCTTAAAAAATACTCGAATACTGTTCGAATTATTGGAATTCGGTTCTAACGATGGATAATTGAACTTTCGGCATAAGTAAGTTTTATTACTCACGGGGACTCTTCCGGCTGCTCTTCGTCCATATCAAAATTCGCTGAAAAGGAGGGCACATCGCCTTCCGCCCCCGTCGTGGTGTCTGGCGATGAATCTTCGTCATTATTCACCGCCGCCGATTCACCGTCTAGCGGGAAGTCTTCCAAGTCGTCGCAGACGACGACGGCCGTAAATGCCTGTAAACAATTACAATACAATATATACACCTAAATCTATATAAAATCGTTAGTTTTTATTTGTTATCAATAAACATTTCAATTCTTGTTTAATTTCGATCCTTAAATATCCTATATTTCGGGCCTAACGTACTTTTAAATGGTTAAAAACTTAAAATGATTTATTCTAAAGTGTGTATATCAGTACCCTTTATCGTCTACCGATAACCTGCCCTTTTGAACTGCGACCAAAGAACTACAAAATAATCTAATATTAGGTGTCTATAATTATACGACTTCCGATTTAATTGCAGTATTCGTTATACCTATGCGTACATAAAACGGTAGAAAAAAATAGATTTGAAACTGTCTTGTGTGAGCGGGTAAAAAATGTGATTCACGACGGTGCATTGTATTAGAGGAATGGGCGCCAAAATATTGGTGCCACGCTTATTAGGCCGAGCATAATGTACGACTGGAATAGAAGTATACGACAATGACATTATGCGTTCTTATAAGTTAGGTGAATATATGGTTCGAATATTATTATGGTTTTGGTGACCCGTTTCATTTTTTTGAAGCAATCATTTTTGTTAGAAACTTATTCGGTACGCGTATAATCAAAGGTTCATGAGCTTCTAATATTGTTAATCCGATCAGTGTTAAAAGAATTAGCTAGAGTATCTCTTCTTTTTAGCTTTTTTATTTTTACAAAATTATTCGTAGCAACAGGTACGTACAATAATACCATAATACATATGTATAATATACGCAAGTGAATCGAATTATAACTGTAAAGATTTTTTGATATATCTAACTCGTAAAACCAGCTAGGATTTTTTTTCGGTCTACAGTTTAGCTAAACGACGAAAAATCTACACGTCTTACAATCACGCATGGTTATTTATCTCTCAGTAAATACTATCAAAAGTAAAATTGGTCAAAAAGTTTTGTTTGACTTAATATTTTAGGAATAATTTATAAAATTAAATATGGAAGATATTTTGAAAGAGTTGGTTTTTAGACATTTTTATCATAATAAATCGATGACCTAAAATTCGAGAAAAACTATAAAATAACACGAAAAAATAATAATCCAATAGTAAAAGTCAAATTTCAATGCTGTTTTTCAAATGCGACCATTTGTTTTTATTGATATTTTTGACAATAAATTGGTTCCGCCTTGCCTAAAATAACAAATCGGTTACCACGAGTCAGTAAAACAAGGAAATCGATAAAATAATTATTTACCATTTGAAATTCATTTGTCGCTAAATCGCCTACACTCTCAAAATATATAAACGAAACTGCATAATATTATAACAACACTAATACTGTTTGAGTTGTATACAAACTATACATTTCTTCCTTTTTCTTTTCTTTTTTTTTCTTAATAATTATACATCAATTTATTTGTTAAAATATTTACTCTTTAGAACGTAAATTTTAATAACTTGATGTTTCCATAAAAAATTACTATAATAGGGTATAATCGTATGCTATAAAAAAAAAAAAAAAGGATTATGTAGGTAATCTTAGGAAAAGACATTTACTAAAACGTACAGTTTATTATTATCTATGAATCACTAGTCACATATCACATGTTATAAATGTATCGTGAACGAATTCGGAACGAAAACAAACTGCTATGTGCGTTTTACAATGACCTGTGCTGTGAATTTGATGTATTTTACGATTTTTTTTTTTTCTATTTACCTGTCGTATTATAAAAACGGATTCGGTCAAAATACGTTTTTCGTTGTTTATATATTAAATACAGAATATCTTATTTTGCATAATTAACGGGTTAGGGTGTACAAAATTCACGATTTCGTGAATTCATCGTGTTAATGGTTTATTCTTTTCTTAATATTCTGGTCAGTCCAGCCGAAATTAGCATTGAATATTGCTCGTTTAAACTATAGTGTATTCGACTTTTATTGTTTCGATGAGAATATTATTACAATAATATAATTCTGTTCTTGGGCGCGCTTCCGTGTGAAGAAAAATTATTTTTAGTCGATTATTTAACTATAGTAAGTTGATTTTCTATGCTGAAGTCGTTTGTACCAATAATATTTACGTGATGGTTAAAAATAAGTTATAACGTTCTTTTGAGTTTTTTCGTGCACATTTTTACATACAATTTTAAAGATTTTAAGATCATATTTAATTGCATGTTTCGTCCAGTTTTAATGTATAAAATATCGCATGCATATTTTAATGGATTTTGAACAAAATACAATTCACCGTCCTGGCAATTTCAATAATAACATTTGATGATATTTTCAATATAACTCACCCTTTCCTACCTATTTTAAATCAACAATAGTGATAATAGTGTTAAAAATAATACGTAACTACGACTACTATTAATATAACAAGGTAACTTATTTGATTCGATTAAGTCTTTGGCCCATGAAAAAAAGAGCTTAAGGCAATTTTTTTTGTTATTTTGTATAATTTAATTTTTTCCCATTTATTTTTTGATCTAAATTGCATAAGTGTGTGCGTATTTTAAAAAAAAAAGTGTATGTAGTTAACTACAAAATCTTTATTAATCTTGAATATGAAATACGAATTGGAGCCATTGAATTAAATGAATTGAATCCATACGATTAAAAATAATAATAAACTATACAATATTTTCCTAAACTTGTCTACAACTTCGCTATACATATTATGTATGCCCGTGAAGCATTCCAGAAGACCAGAATTATAAAAGTTCTCGGACATTATATTATAAATTTAATTAGTCGATAAATTTAAAATATTTTAAAACGCACCTACATTATTATTTTTGTGTAAATACATATCTCAACTAAATGGCATAACAAAAATGAATGTGACACGAATTTCGTTTAGTTTCAAAGTTTGTACATTAAATTATACTGACGTAATGGGCTGTATTAATATGTTTCAAATAAAGTACAAATAACGTGAAAAATCGGAACATTTTTACAAAAGGAAAGTGTTTTCCTAGAAAATAAAATACAACACACATCTTTTTACAACTAATAGCTTCTTTGTCATACTGTTATACTCAAAATCTAAAAAAAAAATCCGGAAACCTAATAAAACCCAAACCGATCAAAATCGAATAAACACATCGTCACTGCATGACACTATACACATTATTTAATCGGTCACTTCGCTTGGACATAATAATATTATAGAAGATTAAAAAACGCGATTCATTATACAGTGCGTTGCCAAACAATTAGTGTGTTTACGCCGGACAAATACATCGGATTTGGTTTGTATCAATCCGGATCGAGAAATCGGATCGACTTGCTGATCCGGTAACGGTAGCTTATACGATAGGTTTACAGTATTTAGGTAGGTAGACCGTAAACATATCGATCGTCTTAAACTCTTACTATAAATCCTGAATAGTGACCACATTTTGATTTTAACCAGCGGTTCCTAGATATTTGAAAGAACGGTGTCATTTGTCGGATCAAATTTCACCGCAAAATACTACTATGAATACCATGAGGAAATATGAATACAAATAGCTGATGCTCCTGGTGCGCCACTGTTGTAGGTGAAAAGTTAGGATGATATGATACATTAAGTTATTAATTTTATATCTGTAAGCGAGGACAAACCATTATTAACGAAAAACGGTTCGTTTATAGATATAGATAAGGCTGTAATAATTACGATTATCATCAAAGTTAAATCATAAAACCTATATAAAAAATTACTTCATTATCCACTACTTTTTTTTTTACCACTAAATACTGCAACTTATAAGAGTTTAATAGGAAATTCTCAATAATTTATGTTGGTCAAACAATTATATCCACATAGTACCTACCAAATAAAAACTACAAAGAAAAATGTGCAACATAAAATGCCCATAAATAGCTCAAAAACATTACCAGAATAGTTTAAAAATGTTACCCCGGCTAAAAAAGGCAGATATGAGTTTTCAAAATTTCAAGTCTTTACGAATATTTTTAACTGAATTACAAGAAAAAACAAAATTAAAAATAATGAAACAATTATTTCCGTAATTACTAATTATTATAATTATTTTCCGTATTTCCTTTTTTGTACTCGTTTGTTCAGTTTTTATCAGTTATTAAGAAAATTACACGGAAAATAAAAAAAAGATTTTCTTATTTACCAACCAGATTAAAAATGCTACAAAAAAGGTCCTTTCCAATCGGAGCAAGTTTTCTTTTCGGAAAGTTGTTTACAAACAGAAAAACAAAATAAATAAAAAAACTTATAATAAAACCAATAGATCCTTCGCTACGAACCCTAGTGCCCGTTGATAACTAATTTAAATAATATTGTCCTAAACATTTTATAATAAAAAAAAAAATTTAACTAAATATTACAAGGCAACAAAACGTGTATCGGCAAAATAAATATTATTACAATAAAAATTGTAACTATTGGATTTTTTTTTTTTGTTTTTTATACGAACCTCGGTGCACCGATTTGGAGACCGTTAATGTAAACGAAATACAAATGTTTTGCGAACGACTGATGAGTTTTTACATTTGTTAAAAATTTAACATCAATATGGAGTAAATAAAATAATATTTGTCACGGAGTATTAATTAGATGCCCATATAATGAAAAAACAAAAAAACCTCGAACGTTTAATTTTTTTTTTTTTTGATCAACGTGACTATTGTTATTTTTTTAATAATAATATCTGATATATATTGCGATAAAAACTATAACCCAGTCGGACATGTGTCAATACGTCATAATATATCGGTCTCGGACACGACAATGTCAACATAGTTTTCACTGTCTGATGATGAAGCAGACGGATTTTTTTTTTTTTTTTCATCTGCTTTTCGTTTTATTTCTATTGTGGCAGCAACAACAGCGGTAGGTATTGCAGGTATAATATAGGTATTCCGTAACATAATACCGACAGTATCGATCGGGAATAACGAAAAAAATCTGTGTTTATTTCACTTTCACGAGCTGCAAAACCAATCGACCGGAGAATAAAATATAAAAACACACGATAATAATATTTATATTTACAGTGTATACACAAATAGCTATGAACATTTCGTCGACAAATACGAACGCTTGTATTCACTTATGCAAAAATCGTGTACACGTAATTTAATACAAACTCCCATAGTAAATCCTAAACGATTTCCAATCCAAAGTCGCGTTGATTCGTACGATGTATGATTATCGTTTGTACGCGAAATTTATACAACCGGGTATACGCATTGTGTTTTCGTTGTTTGTTTATTTAGCTAGGGATTTTTTTTTTTTTTTTTTTTGTTTATTAACTGCTTACTAGTAAAACTATACGTATACCCATATATTTTAAATAAATCATCGAAAATATTAACTTACTAAAATACCGAATAATATTATAATACGTATAGTGTCTATATCGATAGTAAATAATGAAAACATTAAAACTCGGACGAATGATGTATTCCCTCCATTACGAGAGTTTCGGATTTCGTTTGACTGCACGGTCGTTTTCACTAAACGCGCTTTAGTAATATTTCTTTCGGTAACTTAGTAGGTACAAACACTCGTATATTTTTTATAACTGAATGCGGAGCGAGGATTTCAAGATTTTTCTCAAAAATACGTACAGGTTGCGCATAAAAACACCCCTCCTTATCTATTACCAACATTATATTTCTTCGCGTCCGGGGAAAAAGGGCTAGAGTCAATTCGCGGCGTTTTTTTCTTCTTCTCGTATTATGTAATTGTTTTCCGTTGAAATGGCATAAGTGTGCCCCGTGGTTTATTTTCGGCATTTAATTTTCGTTCGTATTTGAAAACTGTACACAATTGACTTGAGCCCTTTTTCCCCGAGGGTACCGGAGATTTATCGAACTGTAAATACCGAACAACTTATCGCGACGATATTGACTGTATGTGGGTACTTACCGCAGCCGCGAGCGACCAAAATAATATCGTCTTTACTGTGATGCGCATAGTGTGTCAAAACGGTGCTGGTGCAGACACGGCGGTCATTTTCGCGTTACAGACGCAGCGGAAACGACATCGTCGCAATAACACGACAATGTATTTATCAACGAATTTTTTTTTAATTTTTCGAAATACGATTATTTTTAACGCAATAACACTAGCACGAGATACCGACGATACCGCGGACCTACTGGAGCGAGTAAGTCACTTGTTCCGTCTCTTCTGCTCGGAAACGCCGCCGCAAGATGGAATGTCCGGGGAACCGGTGGCGGCCGGTCTCTTTGGTGGGGCACGCGTCGCACCGTCGTGCGCGCGTTCACAGAGACCGAATAAGTTGGTCATCCAAGTTTAAGGTCAGTTACGTCTGCACGAGGCGCCGCCGTCGCCGCCGCCGCCGCCGCCGGTTCGCAGATCCTCACACGTGTAAATATTGTATGCCACTTTTTTTTTCTCTTCACCATTATATTGTATTATTATTATAATAATATTTTCCGCGACGATGGCATATTATTTCGATTTTTTTTTTTTTTTTTTTACCGCGTTATTATTAAGAAGATTATCCGCACGATCGTCTAAAATGCGTGTTAAAACTGGATTTAATTATATTATTTAAAATTCGTATTTTTTTTCATTATTTATTATTACATCAAAACTTGGCACAGGAATTGTGAATGAAAATAAAAAGTCGATACATCAACATTTTCGGAAAAATAATAAACTCTATAAAATGGCTATCTTCTAATTGTTCAGAAATAATAAAATTAAAAAATTTTTTTTTTTTTAAGTTTTTTATCAAAGCATAAAACACTAATTGTAATATAAATATTTGTATTCATTATCCCGGTGAGTAATATTAAATAAACATAATTTGATTATTTTTATTATCTCCGAAGATATTTAGTTATAAAATTACAATGGGTACTTCGTGATATATCCTGTATATATAATGTCACATTTTCATAATGAAATTGTACATTTCATAAAAAGTTAGCCAGTTCATGAAATGAAAATCATTTTTTTTTCTACTTAGTGAAAAATGTTATGCCGCGGATGTATTTTCACGAATTGGACGCTAAAAATTGTTATCAGAAAATTTGTAAATCTTAAATAATATGCTAGTGCAAAATAATAAAAAAATTATTAAAATGACGCAAGTATTTCGGTGGAGTATTTGTATATAAACTATTAAGTGGTAAAACAAATTATCCTAAATTTGTATCCCTAATTGTATTTCGTGTTCCTGTATTGAACTCCGAAAATAAATTGTATGTTTTCATATCCCTTCTAAAAATTACACGAACAATAGGCAAGTGTATCGCTTGTCCAAGTCTTGTAATGGATTAAAGAATTGTTAGATTTTAATTGCGATCCAATTTCTAAATTGAAAGTGTATTATGTTAAATTGAATGTAATTAAGGATATCGTTTACCTATTAACATAATAATATGTACAATATGAATTGTAGTTTTACTCCTTGTGAGTGTTCAACTTTTAAATAACTAAATAAATAAAACAAATAAACTACAAAGACTAAACGTTTGTAATAGTATGGTTTATATATTATTTTTATAGGTAGTATACAATCAATAAATGCCGTATCCGAGGGGAGGGGGGAGGATTCAAACCACCACCGAAAGATTATATTTTTGGAAAACTATTGTTTACCACATAAAAAATTAAATACCTAATGAATTTGTTGGAACCCTCTCTCAACATTTTGTCTTTCTATGGCCTTGCATATATGTAAATATCTAATAGGTATTTACCTATATTTACCTAATAACTATCAGATAGTTAAGTACCGACTCATTAGGTGTGTTCACAACTAGAAAATTTAGAGGGTCAACCTTCAATCGAAGTTTGAAAAAACATATTCTCTAATTTCGTTAATTCAACGCTTTTAAATTTTTTTACTTATGAACCTCCTCTGACTTCAGGATTTCTTTTTTAACACGCTATTACCGTTATGTTATTATAGTCAAATGCACTTTTTAAAGGACAAATAAATGAGTAGAAAACATTAATTGAAGTCGGTAAAATTGATAGTTGGAGTCAGCAAATTTTTAATCACACGTCTCTGTCGAGTTTTGTTAGCGTCGCCGCCGGCTTTGTGTCAGACATAGAAACTAGGAAGAATTTTTAAAAAAGAAAAAGTACACCGGTCCCCCATGTCCTCCATCCCCCGATTCAGCTACTGATTTCAACAAAATAACCAAGTCATTTTTTAACGCACCATTGTTTTTCTATTAACTAGTTAAGTTGAAAATTATCAAAAAACTAACTTATTGTAACTCAACCCGAATAACACCGTACAACTTTGTACATTGTAAATTATAATAATATATGTATAGGTACGTCAATCATAATATTATAACGAGTCATACATTATGTTTATGATAATATAATACAATAATACTATTATAAACTGTAGCTAGAAGTTAAACAGCTACAGGTATACGGACGATTTTACAGTCCGGCGAAAATGGAAAAATAATAATATAATATTCGTTAAATCGCAAAATCGGACAACAATGAATCGATTAAAATTGGGCTATTGTATACATTACCTATAGCTACCTGTATTATATTATACCTGACGTCGTCGTATTATGCTAATAACATGTGAATAGAGGCCAATGATCCAACAATGACTATACCATTGTGATGCCCTTGACTCATATTTATATATCCATCACCTCATTTTATTTATTTTTTTATTTGCCACAATGTTTACTAAGCACTATATATATATATGTATACGTTTTCCCATAACAAAATATACTTCCTCGCGATGTGTAGGCACACTTGCGTTCATACAATAACAACACAAGAAGAACATTAAACAAAACTAAAAACACATTCGAATGAGCATTACATTCTTCCGGCCCGGTTTTTATTGCTCGTCGGACTACATATTATTATCACAGGTAAATCGTGTATCTACTCCAGTGTACTCCATTAACCGACAATTCAGTTTTTAATGGCGTGTCCTCTGCAGTATAATATTAAACCTACGACTTGTTTACATAGTCCATCGAGTGTCTATTTAGAAAGTAACATAATTCGTCGCTCGAAATTCTCGACTTTTCAGGAGAACCAAGAAACCGATTTATTCGCAACTATAATTACTCAGTTCTTAAAAACATTCTGGATATACAGAGATGGGAAAGAGTATTATGCTTCAAAAGTAGTAAAAATATATATACATATACTCTAGATACTAGACTTGCGTCGATTTCAGTATCACAATACAAGACACTCGATACTTTCCAGAACTGTATCACGATACAAAATACAATTGTATCGAAGATACTACCTAACCCTAACGAATAGCAGCTATTGTCATATTTAAGATTCCTAGTTTCTTAGCCATACTGACTAATGTTAAGTTCAATAAACGATTACTATCGAAATACGAAAACGTGCTATCGACTCGATTTGGCCGAAACATGACAAATAGTATGTTGATGTACATTTTTGACAAAAAAGTCAAATTTTATTTATTTTATTTTTCATTAAAATTTGTATTTATTTTATTTTTTAGTAAAATGTTTATTTATTTATTTTTATTTCTATTTTATTAAAGTTTATTTTTAAATTAATTTATTGGACTGTATATTATTAATAGGAATATTTTTTTTATGTAACTGTTATTCAATTACTCAATAACCAATTGCGCATAAAGTACACTTGCTTTATTTTCATATCTACCTAAAGTCGTGATCGTATCTTTATACAATTTAATACTTTTCAGTTTTAAGTTCAATTATGATATCGAGTTTAATAAATAACAATATTATTAATCGGAATTTAGAGTTGAGAATAATAATAACTTAAGGTATAAAATTAAGTTTAAAAATGCTACCGTAAGTAATTATCACCTACTATGTAGTGACTTTTATACAAGGTGATCAATCTATCGTAAAATATTCATTACTTTGGAAAATGTTAACGTTTTTCGAAATTTGTTTTATAAAACATTTAAAAAACAAGCAGTTCTACAATTGTACATTTCTGTTATTTTTGTAACTCTTATTAAAACGTCACATACCACCACACAAATAATGCTCCACTACTCTCCTCTGACCTAAAATCAAAATCTATTTATGGAATTTTTAATATAGGTTGCTACTTAAAAATCAAAAGTAAGTTGTAGTTTCACTCTCGAGAATAAGGATGACAAAAATACAACAAAAATGTAAAATTGTAAATCTGCTTGTTTCTTAAATTTTCTATAAAACAAATTCAAAAAAAATTAATATTTTTCGAGATAATGAGTGTCTTACGACAGATTGACCACCCTGTATACAAACCATTTTTTTTCTAATTTGAGATTGTCGCCCTTTCTGAGAAGCTAATTCTATCCAAGGAGCAATGTTAGTTTCTAACTGAATTGGATGGCATTTTTTAATAAAAGGGAATGGTTAGGTTAGTATTTTTTTTTTTTTTATTCGTACGCATAACATGTAAAAATTAATAATCACTAAAGATGAATTAAAATTAAAATACAAGGAAGGGTACCAATATTTCTGACTGGAAAAGCAAATAACTTTATTTTATCATTGATTGTAGGCAACTGCATTAGGCGTATAGAAAATATTGCAAAAAAAACATATTTATAACCGTATCACCGAAGACTAAAAAATTTAGAATTTTTTAGCTAAGCTTTTGATTCTAGCATTGATCTTCCAGCCACATCACAATGTTCTATTTTTATTAGGTACTATACTGAACAAAATTCTATTTTATGTGGCCCAAATAAAAAAAAAAGGTTGAGTATGGCTGATATAGACCATCGAAAAGAGATATAATTATTTTTTATTTTTTTTTTAAAAAAAGAACGTTCCAGCCGGATATGTGACATCGGTTATCAAATATGTTTATGTTTTTTTACGTGCCTCGTACCGTCCGTGTCAATACATAAAATGTTTATACATATATACATACATTTTTTTTTTTAGTAGAAAATTCGAAAAATACGTATAGATACGTATAAATCACGCGCGTTATTATCGATTTAATCGTATAGTAATTGCATTATACACGAAGGCGTGAACTGCGCATAGATAATCGTGTCTCGGACCGACGATACCGTCGACAATACGGTCGCCAACGTTCCGGTCAACACTATAAACGCCAACAACGTTAAACGCTTGAAGCCGACCACCGGTATCGGTACGACAGCAGCATCCGGGAACGTCCGGTAACACACCCTGTCGGACGTTTTGATTTTCAGCCGGCGGAGCGATCGTATTTTAACGTAAAACAGTGGCGGCAAGAGGAACATCAGCGGCCCGGTCAACAGGGCCCCGACCAAGCCCATCAACAGGTCGAACCTGGGCACGGCCTCGCCAATGGCCACGGCCACCATCACGACGGATGATCTCAGCACGCACCTCTTCCAGTTGAATTCTAGACGGAGGAAGATATGGAAAAAATATTTAAAAAATGTCTAAACAGTAGCTAGTAATATAATAATTAATATATATATTAACAGTGTTTGGAAAAAACGCATTCATAGGAATCCATTTGTTGAATTTGGATTTTCATTTTGGATAAGTACGTTCTTAAATGCATTTACTTTTATTTTTAAGGATAATGGTGAACGCGAATCGATTGATTTTACACCGGAATGTGAATGGAAATGATAGAATTTTAAAGAAAAAAAATATATCAAAATACTTTTTACTTTTTACAGGAACAATATACCGATCTGTAGGTATTTTTATTTACAATATTATTGCGAACAAATAGAATGCATCATTATGAAATATAAGGAACAGTGAATGGGAATGCATTATTTTTTTCAGCTCAAGAATGCGAACAAAAACGAATTCCTGTATAAAATGAATTTGCCAATCACTGAATATTATTAGGTGTACTTAAACGCAAATAAAAACGGTGTACATCCACTTCGTGTTCTTGGACCTACCTCTCGGTATTCGAAGAAAATGTTCGATGTGCTGAAACAGCGCGGTCGTGCTGACAACCGTCGACAAACATATCTGAATTGTGACCAGGGTTATGTCGACGTTTAAAAATCTACTGTCCGACAACTCGTCCAATAAGTTAGTGCTCAGTACCGATCCGAATCTCACGTAGCCAATGGTGGTCGTGATTAAAAATAAGCTGCACGTTACTATAATTTTATATAATATGGACATATCTTAGGTCGATAAAATCAATTTTATATATCTTCGGTCCCAGGGAAGAAGGGTTTAAGTCAACTATTGGCCTATTAATAATTGTTTTCTTCTAAATCGCAAAAGTATAATATGTATATTTTAACACATGTTGTATTGAAAATTATACAAAATCTACTTTTTCCCCTTCTTCTCTGGGAGCAAAAACATATTTTGTATAAAAACCAATACAAAGCAATAGTTATGTCTTACTGGAAAATGCCCAAACGATCACAAGGGGCAATTTTCGTTTGTCGACCATGTCCATTTGTACGGTGAGAACTAGCGGATGGACATCAAACTACAATATGCGTGAATTACATTTCCTGCGTATTATCGAGATAAGTAATTGTTTTTTTTTTTTTTTTTATATCGGGTGATTCATTTAAGTAGGTACAGTCATTATCTTGGAAAATATTAACTTTTACCAGAATTTGTTTTCTAAAACATTTAAGAAACATGCTGTTCCATAATTTTATATCTGTGTTATTTTTTGTCATTCTTATTTTTAGGGGCTTATTTTTTGTAAAATAACTACGTACTCTTGATTTCAAATGGAAACCTATATTCCATAAATAAATTTTAGTGTTGACATTTTTGATTTCTGTTGACGAGATATACCACTTTTAATTTTAGGTTGGAGGAGAGTAGTAGTGCATTGTTAACATGCCGCGCGCTGCAGTTCGACGGAAATCAAAAATTTCAACACAAAAATTTATTTTACTTAATAATACTCTATCTATTTATGGAATTTTTAACATATATTGCCATTTGAAAATCAAAAGTAGGTAGTGGTTTTACCCCCCAAAATTAGGTTGACGAAAAATAACATAAATATAAAATTGTAATGTAGCTCGTTTCTTAAATATTCTAAAAAATAAACTCCGGAATACTTAGTACTGGTTTCGCATTGAATAATTTGTGTATTATAGAATCCGAACCTGGAAAGCTAATATCCCGTACGCGAGTGCCACACTATTCCACGACGGTCCACCAATGGTCTGATACTCTTCACGTTGTGTATCCATCATTGCTATCCACGTTAACACACTCACGAAGCACACGGAAAACACAGAGCTCAAAGCAATCCATCTATAAAATGATTATCCGTAATTTTATTATGTACTTTGTAATATTATAACATTACGTGCATTATTATATAATTACCACTACACTCTACATTCAATTTTCGGGTATTTTGTAATATAGTTTTTTCACTTATTTATTTTATTAGAAGAGTAACAAAAAACTTATTTTCTTAGTTTTCTTAATTAGTATTTCGTTAGTATTTTATCCCTAGTTTTATTATAATAAGTGGTTTTTTCTTAGAAAACACTATTTCAGATAGTAAAAAATGCTTCAATCTTCTTCACGTCATAATATTTTAAAAGATGCGTAATATCTGTTCGGTGGTATTTAATTTGAAATATATAACATTTTCAACATTTCATCTCCCGGAGCCTTTTATTTATTGTTCCATGTTTGTTGAATTCTTGGTTCCTTTGGTTACAAGCGAAAAATACGACTTATACTACACTTCTTAGAAGTGTTTGTAACTTTTTCGTTTGCAATAATTCATCATTACATACAATATACAAACTAAATTACTCTGTATAGTGTGTATCTTATATTACAGATTATTAAGATACACACTATATTGGGAATTGTATATTATACAGTTCCCAATACCTTCCCAGCTACCCACAAATAGTAGCCTATAGTATCAGTAACTTACGCATGAGTATTATTAAATACTTTTTTTTTAAATTGTATCTATTGCCCACACTAAAACATACGAAAACATAATAATAAATAAAATGTGAATTACTTAATCGTTTGCTGATTTCAATCATTGAATGAGTCTACAGTATAATTACTCTTATTGTGAAACGATGGGGCCGATAATTATTGTCATGATTTGTTAGTTATATAAAGATAAAAAGATGTCGTGTCTTTTGTCAACCAACAGTTAAACAATAGTGTTTATATTATACTGCTTATAATAGAAGCTAATTACAAAGAAGCAGACAAATTTATCTGCACGTCAACTGATATAATTATTTTTAAACACTACGAGTGTTGTTAAATACCAATATGTTTTTAATTGACATAATATTGTTACATAACATGCATAATGAACAGCCAACTATTTGCATTATTTTAATTGAAAAAAAAACATTTCGGATATAGTCAACTGGGTTAAATGGTTAATTTATTAACATCTAATTTATAATTAACATCCAGATAAACAAATAGTAACATAAATTGAAAATAGTATTTACTGAAATTTGTATATGCAAATTAAACAATGCATTTATATTTAAGTTTCAGTAAAATGTATAAATAAATAACTCTGCGTTTTAATTGGAAACTAATGTGAAAGCTGATTGAAAATAAAAGTTAGAATTATTCCCACAATCGTGGTTCTATTATAAAACAAAGACGGGCATACTTCGCACGACTGGTGGACCACTGTTGTAGATAAAAAGTTGGGAAGGTAGAGGGGAAATTTAATGTATAACTGTAACCGTTGCATTCGGAACATTTTTCTATTTTTTTTCCATCTTTTCCCATTTATAAAAAAACTCCTTGGAAAATCAAAAAATGATATCCCTAAAGGACCACTCCAGTTAAATTTGAAATCAAAAAAAAAAAAAGGTTTATTTGAAAATTGAAGCAAAATTACTGATAGAAAAGATGTCCACCGAAAAAAAAATAAATAAAATAAACTCAGCTCAAAATCTAGAAGTAGGTACTTCATTGAATACCTAAGTGACGCATAAGATATCACGGTTATAATAATATGCACTGTTAGTTTAAATTAAGTTTCACAAATTAAGTAGACGTGAATTAACACTTTAATTTTAAAACGAGTTATAATTCAATTGGGCGAATCTATTTACTACTCGTTAAACGCTATAATTTATTAAAAACAGACAATTAACCAACATGAGAATATCAAAAACGATTTTCTAACTAATGAAACTTATTGTCGTTCAGTATAGTATTAATTACATAGATTATTATTTAAAAACCACCTAATAAATAAATCTATCTAATTTTTAAATATTCAGCTTCAAAGACCTTATAAGGCTTACTGCTGATCTACATAGTTTTCGCTCTATCATCTAAGACTTTTATATATTTTTTATTTTCGAACCCGTTATTTTTTAAGAGCTAGGTGGATTTTTCTCCTCTTTCCATACCGGAATCTCACCGTCTTAAAGAAGTCTTAATCTCAACGTGCACGTTAAAACTGTTTAATCCTCTAAACTCTATATAGTTTTCAGTAAAAATGATTAACTATTATTTCATCGAGCCTTAAATATTTTGTACGTACTTCATATCCTTCGGACTGCCGAGCCAAAGAAGTGGACACAATACGATTCCCACGACAATCAACCACACGCATGGCGACACGTCAAAACTGTCAGCCGACAGTTTTAATCCAAGTACGTGAAAATTGTAAGACGCTTCGGAAAGACATTACGATTGTAATAGTATTACATTAGTATAGCCGGTAGGACGTCATCAGTAAACGTCCGTGAAATTAGTCCCCCGACTTCGTCATAGCTAGGGAAACCATAACTGTGTCAATATTTAGATATTTTCAAACAATTTTCAATGTTGGTTGGTAAAAGTTGTTAAATATCGACACAGTTTTGGAGTTCCTGTAATAAAGTCGTGGGGCCAACTTCATGGACGTCGTCATCAATATACTGTTTTCGAAAAATAATAACGTGTGTATTACTTACCGATTAAAAGGTTTGGAATACACGCACCGAATACGGCGATGTCCAACATGACGGTGACGATGCGTTTGACTTTGTTCCCGAAAATAAGCTCGGCTAAAGCGGCATACGGATACCTCATGGAAGAATAATTCTTATAGAATACGCTAATAATGGCATTGATGATGCACATTTTTGTCACATTCTAATAATGACGTATTACGTATATAGTTGTTATTATTACCGGTTCTTTTTATCGATACTCGGGTCGATTTCTTCGGCTATTATCCAACACTTTCCCAACAAAATGGCCGTGTACATTTGAACTGCAAACACCATAACGGCCAATGGTATTCCGAACCATCCTACGACACGACAGCAGCAACGGCACACCATAGATATTGCAACAAAAATAATTATAATATTAATATTACTGTCAGGGTCGTCTAGGGGCAAATTTCTAGTTTAAAATACTGCTGTTCTAGTATTACAAATTCAATATTGATTTAAATATAGCAATATTATAATAATTTTATTAAACCTTCATAATTTTAAGAGTAAAAATAAGTATATTAATCCCATAACATTTTATTTATTACAATTTTGAAATCAAATCTTTACACTGTTACATTAATTATTTCAAAACAAAAAAGACGGACATACTTCGCACATGGATGCAGCCACTGTTGTTGGTGAGAAATTGGAAAGGTAGAATATGAGAGGAAATTAATTTGTATCTATAAGCAAACGATAAACCATTTCTTACTAAAACGATTCTGAGCGAAGTTCAGTTGATAGTGATGATTTCTCAACAGTATATACATATTATAATAAAATAATTAAATAGGCATTATATATTTTCTTTAATAATATTTGTTTAATATTGTACCGATTTTCCCGATTTTCCTACGTTTTTATCGGTTTTTCATATTTGCAGACCACTGTAACGTTTATACCTACATACTAAAATAGTTTGTGTTCACTGAAGGCCCCATTGCTATTAAGTTGTCACGTGAAATCTTGACGTATTAATTTATAGCCCAAATCATATTAACACAAATCAATCTTTATTTTTAAAAGTTGATATTTTTTTCTTCATAAATTTCTTAATCTAATGGTCAAAACGTTTAAAATTTTTCATACAGTATTCCACCATCTAAATGCCCCCCAAACATCTGCTGCCCGGGGCAAAATTCTTAAAACCCTCCGTTAAATACGGCCCTGAACTATTACTATTACTTCACATAATCAAATCGTATAAAGGTATAAGTAAATCACATCGATATTATTTATGACATATTATTCCATATTGGAGCTTACCGCATTTGATAATGGGTCCGGGCAATACGACTATGGGATACACACCGAACAAGTCGACAATACACAAAATCGCGAAAGGCACGGTTAAACCGCTGGGGTTCATAATCATTTTAATTTAATTTTTTTTTTTTTTTTTTTGACGTTTAAACCGAAATTTCAATAAAACAAAACCAATTCACCGGGACACAGCGAACTACGAAATGCGTGTACCTACCGTCGTAATACTGAACATTCTCATGATATACTATTTCCTAGTCACACAATATTTTGTAGTCCCCTCGAGAAACCTTATATTTTCAATGACCAGATGCACTCGTTCGATGTTGTACGAGTATTATAATATATATGTACAAATACTTATAGGTATATATTAGATATTATAGGTACAGTAGAGCCGTATAATATAAGCCTGTCGTAACTTTATACGTCTGTGTTTAGGTAAAAAATATACCCTTGGAACTTTCGCTATTATATTTCGTTTCGCCTATAAGAATCGCTTTTAATTTAAATTGATCAGGATTGATCACCTAACCCCTAGGTATATCATAGTATGTACCATTATAATAAAGCAAGTACACGAACAATCACATTAATCATATTCAAATTGTTATTTATACGACAAAATATTTTTTAATGGCGTATAAAATTAATAAATATAATATATACCGGACCGAAAAAACAAGTAATACTTTCAATACTCTTATTTTAAAATAATTATTTCTTCGCATTATTCAGATAAAACAAAAGGGGGCTAATACTGTTGATAGATGTGTTACTGTTGTATATGAGAAAGAGATGAGAAGATGAGAAGCTAGGAGTAAAGTAATAAAGTTGTTTACAGGCACAGAAAACGAAGCTTCACTCAGAATCAAAAATATGTGTTCAAAAAAATTGCTACCCAATATGTTTTAATTGTTACAAAAATAAATAAATTTATAATATAAGTTTAAAATGTCGTAGCTATTTTATAATAATAGAGGGAAAAGATATCCGGGTTGTTTAAATTACTTTATTATTCATATTTTGAAAAATTATATTTAATGAAGAATAAATATGATGATTGCAATATAATATTGTTTCAAATACAGTTTAAATTTCCACTTCCAGTTATTAAACAATTCAGCCATAAGTTCACTACATAGTTTTACGTTTTTGACTTAAAATCTAGTACGACTTTCGAGTAATACATTAAGCGTTATTAAGTGTTACCAAGATTTATTTTCAAAAAATTAAATTACCGGGTAACACGGAGAAATATGTTTTTATTTTATTAAATTTGTTTTTCATTCAATACTGTGCATTGGAAATGCCGAATATCACAACTAGTACCTAATAAATAATAATTGTATTGTACGTGAGTTTCGGCGAACTATACAATTTGTTATGTTTACTACGGAAGCACCAGCAGTTGGTGACATTCAATGGGTCAAAATCGGGATCGGAGACTGACGTGAGCGAGACAAATTTGGTTACGGAGTCAAAATTGGGAATGGAGACCTATTAGATGACAGTAAATAGATGTATTTAATAGTATAGTATAAGTAGTATAAGATATATATATAATATAGTATAAGAAATACAGCGTGACATCACTTGGAAGAAAACTTTAAAAAAAAAAGCAACGAAATGGTAGAAACTAGGAGTTAGTACGATCAAGCATGGTTCTTATTGACTATTACGTTTGGGCGCGCTTAATTTTTAAAATTCTACGTAACGTTGTCAAATATCGAAATACATCAACACGCGGAACATAGTAAAACAAACTGTAAGTTTGACGATTACCTATTGTTGTTTTATCCATAAATAACGATAATCTTTATTCGTTAGAAATACAACGATAGTGCTTGCAATGAATAATCGAATATACTTAGTAATCAGTACGTGTGCGGGTTTACCCTGTTGTGAATAGGTCGTAATCATCATATCGAAAAACGGCTTTTAAACTCACAAACTAAACAAAATTTTCTTTCAAAAAAAGTCAATATTCTTAAAATTTGGTTCAATATTTCTGAAAGAAAATAAATTCGTAAACAATTAAAAATAATGAAATCGGTAATACCGTAAATTTGTCAATTTTTCTTTTACGTCTTTTGTCGGTTTTTCTCGATTATTTTAAAAACTGCTTGAAAAACTAAACAATTGATTACATATTCCCTAACTAGATCCGAAATTCAACATAAAAAAAAAAAAACAGGTATGTTTTCATTATATGGTTACGGAAGGAAGATTTCTGGCAGAAAATTTAAATCGTAAGCATTTAAAATAATGAAATCAGTAACGCTGTGGTGTACCGTAAATATATGTCCATTTTTCCTATATATTTTTTTTCCGGTTTTCTCCAATTATTTAGAAAACTACAATCCAAATGGAAATCCAAAAATGATCTCCTTAATATTTCTTGGCATTTTTCGACCAGACAAATTTTATCGTAGAAAAGTTGTTTGCAGATAAAAATTTAAAAATCACATATAAGATATAACCAATACATTCTTTGCTCTGTTTAAAAACTAAAACGATAGATAAAAATGAATATATGAAAAAAATAAAAGGAATTTCTAGATATAGAAATGATTTGGAAAAAAAGACGGACATACTTCACAAGGTGGATGGGCCACTGTTGTAGGTGAAAAGTAGGAAAGGTAGGATATAGAGAGGAATTTAAAATATATCTGTACGCAACGATTAATCTTTGCTAACAAAAAACGATTCTGATCGGAGTTCGGTTATACATGTTTAAAAAAAATGTTACGACATCTATAAAAGGAAATTACAAGGTTTCTATCAAAATGTTAGGCCTCCACGTATATTTAGCACTGAATAATAATAAAAAAACAAAATTGAAAATAATAAAAAAAACATTATTTTTGGAAATTTTCTCGTTTTTCCTAAGTCTTTCCCTGGTAAAATCAAAAAATGACCTCCTTAGAGTACCACTCCAGGAAAATTCCCTTTCAAAAAAAGTATTACACTTAAAAATCGGAACAAAATTTCTAGTAGAAAAGTTTCGAACATTTTCCCCCTTTTCCCGGTTTTTCCCGGTTATTTGGAAAACACATGAGAAAATTAAAAAAATGGCCTTCTTAAAGTACCACTTCAGGGAAACTTCCTTCCAGAAAAGGTGCTGTATTTGATATTTCGGAGCAAGGTTTCTGGTAAGATTTTTGTACATAGTATAAAAAATAAAAATAAAATAATAAACATCTTTGTAAAACCAACACATTCTCCGCTACATTCTGAGTCTAAAATTAAAAATCAATTATTCTATTTATATGTATATATGTATAACTGGATACATATTTAAAACTGATTCGTAATTTAAAATATAACGTGATGCTGATATAATGTGTGCCAGTTCTTAATACCTAATCAACAATCTCATCTACTTATAAATATAAATAATCAAGTTTCAAATAATAATAATAAAACAAAGCGTTGCATTTGTAAAGTTTTCTAGTTCCAAATTAATGAATAACGCACAGACTTAAAATACATCCTGTTTTTGTTTTTTTTTTTAATATTTATTAACTATAAACATACCTATACAGCTATACTAAGTAGGTTAGTTTTATTATCATGAAACCATTTCTAATTTTGTATTAACTACGATTCGTTCGTTCCTGTCCATTACACATTCTCTACTGGAAATAAATAATTAATCCGATAACTCGTATTCGTATATTCTTGTATTATTATTTATTATGTTTTAATCTTTAAATTTCAAAAATAATTCGTTATTTTTGTAGCTGTACTAAATTTTATACATCCCATTTGTTTAACGTTTTCCAATCGAATTGTTAAAAATACAGTACAAAATATTTTTAACGTTTCTATAAAAAAAAAACCCCTTTATTAACAATTAAAAGTCAAGTAGGTATTTAAAAAAAAAAAAACAAAACTTCTCATTAAAGGTGAAACAATAAGATTCGTTCTTTAATTTAATTACTTTGGGATTCTTGGTTTTACTATAATAATATCCGTCTATATCCTACCTTTCCAACTTCCCACCTATAAAAGTGGCTGCACCTACATATGAAGTATATCCGTTTTTGTTTTATTTGTTGACTATTATATGTAAATTATAATATATAGATACTCCAACTCTTGTCCAAACGAGAAAAATAAATGAATAATAATAGTGTTAACTGTTCAATGAATTTGATGATTTTAAAATATCAAATAAATTAATCGTGTTTTCCTACTCGTGAAATAAAAAAAAAAAATCACATTTCAAATTAAACATTTGAATTTATTGTTAATAATATTGTAATAATTTAAATTTATTTTAGTTCTAAATGTATACCTTAAGTAATATCGTAAATTAATTCAATTTTTACTTGTCTGTAATTTTTCAATTTTAAGTAGGTACCAATTAAAACGCTATTAGTCATAATACTATATTTCATTGACAAACGTATACTTTATAGTAATATCGTCGCACTGTTTCCAATATTATAAATAGCGTAAGGTGTGCTATGAGGTATAATTTATATCTTATTTGTTTTAATTGAAAAATACCGATCTCGAAGAAAGAAACGTGTACGTGTTGTCTGATGAAAGTCCTACAGACATTTCTATACAATGTTTTACTTTCTTTTTGTACATTAAGATTTAAGAGATGTAAAACAATATTCAAAGCTAAATAAGCCAGTTATAATTAGGTACTTAATTAATCACACTTTAAAGTACCTAATTGGAATTTATCTGAATAAAATGTATTCAACGTGTTCGTTTAAACAAAAATATTGCCTACTTATATATAATTGGTGGTTAATATTATGTATTAGTTTATTACGAATGGAATAAATATTAATATTTTTTTATTTATTATCGGTTTTACAATGACGTTTATTTTATTTTTTCTATGAACAACTTTTCTACCAGAAATTTTGCTCCGATTTTCAAGTATAGCACTTTTTTTAAAAGGAAATCCGACTGAAATGGTACTTTAAAGAGGCCATATTTTTTTTGTCCCAGGGGTTTTTCTCATAAATAGGAAAAACGCAAAAATTTACAAAATGTATTATTTTCAAATCGTAAATATACCTACCTTTTAAAACATGTATAACTGAACTCCGTTCAGAGTCATTTTTTGTTAGCAATGATTAATGTTTGCATCCAGATATACATTATATTTCCCCTCCATCATCCCAACTCCTCACCTACAACTGCGGTCAACCCTTCGAACAAAGTATGTCCATTTGTTTTTTTTGTTTTGTTTGATTTCCTATGTTTTACAGATTGTTATTAAAGTAAAACACATTTATAATTCCTATACAAATTATATAACAATGTAAAATTTGAAATTACAATAAAAATTCCTATATCAAACATATTACTATTAAATAGTATGTTTACCGACTAGAAATCATTTTATTTAACGATTTGCTTGAATTGAAAATGCCAGTCTCCGAAATCACTTTACCGTGTACTGTGGCCTCTTTAGGCATGAACCTTGCAATAATCTATAAAGATCAGAAATTCGATGAATAGTTGTACAGTATAATGCGTAGAAATAGAAATCGATTAGTTAGAAAATAATAATATTTGAAGATTCGACAATATTTATTCTATTTGCAATAGTCGTCAAAAAAAGTAACGATAACTGCTATAAATACGCTAAAAAGAGTAATATTTATAAATCACGTGAGTTATACCCACCTATTTTTATATAGTTATACCTACCTACTTCTTTTGGCACTGGCAACGCCGGGTGGTACAGCTAATATAATACAATGTGAATAAATGATTTAAAGTGAGCTTAAACATAATAATTATTATTTATTGTCACAATGTTTATAGTACAAAATCTAATTTTCTCGGACTTAAAGCAATGACACATATTAGACCAACGAATATCAACGCAAGCCTAAAAAAAAAAAAAAAACAAATATTGAAATTTGAATTCCCTTCTGGTCATAATTTACCACGGTCTACAGTAGAAATTATTGGTGGCCCATACGGATCCGGACACCATGGACCTCCGTCCCTCATCACCAGTAAATACGCCACTGGTATAATTTCCAATTAAAGTATACTACCTATACATATATATATATATATATGTACAAATAAAAAAAAGACCGCCGCCGCCGTATGCTAAAAGTATTATATTATGATCAAATAATTAGGTACCGATACAATAAAAGAAAAATAAAGATGATAATAATATTATCATTGTCGCGTTTGTTTACTCAATAGCGCAATCACAGCAACATTATTATTGTTACCGTGTATACCATCGGCTGTAACATTGCGTTAGGTCGCATCACCGACAAATTGATCTATTCATAACCGAAATAAAATAATATACCTAATGACAATTTTATTATCCGAGAAAAAAAAACAGGAATTGCGTATCCATCTACGTGCACCAGGCGGCATTTTAAATCTTTCACAATATTCCCATTAAGATCGCTTCGAATCACCTACGGCGAACGTCAAGTTTCACAACGTTCGCATTGCAGCAGCCACAATAGTTACACGCGAGTGAAACATACCTGTGGCCGTGTTAGATCCGGGAAAGCTGCGGCAGTTTGTTTAAAATATGACGCGGCAGTATAATATTCCATTATTGTAACGAACACTTTTTTAGAACCTGTTCTACGAAAATGCATACGTATTGTAACAACAATATTATAATATACTAGCGCAATTATATTACCGGCCGGCATATTAATGTGAAATTATTATAATGGACAGTAATTATTATCATAGCGTGGACGAATTCGAATTAAAGGACAATTGTACAGTTAGAAATAAACCGTAACGCGACTTTTACGAAATAGGTACACGCGGTAACTACCTCGTAATACTGATAGTGTACGATGACCATCAATAGCGGTATTCGGCATGTATTCGATAAAAAATAATATCAGCTTTCGAAATTCGTTACACGGAAAATCCTATTTTTAAATGTGACCTGTAATTTTGCCTCTCTGAATGTTACGTACATGATACATTGATACATCGTTATTTTTTTTTTATCGTAGGTTTCGATGTGTTTGCGGTTATTTCGACTCCAATATGTTATTAATCGGTATTTATTGAAAAAAAAAAACTATAAAACAAAAATATATACTCGACGATGAAACTCGAATGTCTACACAAGGTATTATTAATTTAACCTTTTACATAAAAACGTTCTGTAGATTTTGAACGCGGAAAAGAATGCTTTGAAGAATGAAAGAATATTGATTGTGATGTATATGTTTTTTTTTTTATTATTATTTAGTTAAAAATAATCGTACAATTTGAAATTTGTACAGTATACTTGTTTAGCTCTTTCTACGTGTGAACAAATTTAAAATAATGAAATTGTTATCGCTGTAAACGTGTCTGTTTTTCCTTTACGTTTTCTTTTTCAGATTTTCAAAATTTTTATAAAAACTGCTTAAAAATGACTTCGTTACTCACAGACTAGACAAAATCTTTTTCGGAAAAAATGCTACTCGTTTCTTGATTGACACTTGATTTCTGATAGAAACATTGTTAACAGACACACAAACAAAAAGAGCTGATACTGGGGACGGGATTGTCTATCCACTGATGTTGGTGAAAAGATGGGATACATTAAGTCATTTGATTTGTAACTGTAACCAACGATAAACTTTTGCTAACGAAAAACGATTTGGCTTAAAGTTCGGTTAAAAGGTTGTAATATTTAGTTTTAATAGTCAACATTTGATTTTATAACTCGTAAACAAAAAAAAATACTACATTAAACTTATTCTTTTTTTTTTTTTGTCACTAATTATGACTTATAACGATCCTCCAATCAAATTTTCAAAGCATTTCTTTCAACAATTTATCCATACAATACTTACCAAATAAAAATAACTTAAAATACTCGCAAAATTTAAATGTCTATAAATAGCCTCAATAATTACTCATATGTTTTGAAAATGTTACGAAGTATATAAAGGCAAATATAATGTTTCCATCAAAATATCTAGTCTCTACGAATTTTTCTAATTTAATGGCATTAAAAAAAAACAAAATTTAAAATAATAAAAGAATTATTTTTTTAGTACTTTCTTCGTATTTTTCGGTTTTGCTCAATTATTAAAAACACTACAAAAGAAATCAAAAAACGACTTTTTTACTCACCAAATAGATTCAAATGCAACAAAAAAAGTCATTGTCGTTTTTCTACTGAAGGAATATTTATGGTAAAAAATATAAGCTATATAAAGTTAATATAATGAAATTGTTGTACCGTAATTTGAAAAAAAAAAAACAGTTTTTTTTTCTTTTTTTTTTGGGTTTTCAAAAATTATTTAAAAAAATATTTTAGATATCAAAAACAACTTCCTTTATAGTCATATGTTAAAAGGAATAAAATCAATCACGTATCATTTTTCGATAGAAGCTTTATTTTTGGTAGAAAACATAAGTTGAAAAAATTGAAAACAAATCGATAGCCCCGCGGTGGATCATACATATTTACCATTTTACCTATAATTTTCATTCAGGTTTTTTCATTTTATTTTTAAAACCCTCTGAAAAATCAAAAAATGATCTCCTCAATAATGTCCTAAATAGAGAAAATTACCTTTAATAAAAGGTACTACACTTTATACTTCAGTGCAAGATTTCTTGTAGAAAAGTTTTTTATAGACAAAAAAAATAAAACACTCATCTTAGTAAAACCAATAGATCTTTCAGTACGCTCCGAATCTTAAATAAAAATATGCATAAACTGAAAATTTTATGAATAGAACAGTGTGCAGTAAAACCCTGCTTCATAACTCAAAAATGCTGACCGCATAATAATATAATCCTCGCGGGATTTTTAGAATCTGGAATTCAAATAAGTTTACCGACCACGACGTTTTGTATTATCCTAGTAGCATTATACAAAAAAAAAAAAAACTGAATAATTTATTATAAATCCAGAAATTTTATTATTAATGCAAAAAAGAATTCATAATTTAGTAAGATTTTAAGCACGCAGTTATGTAGTTGCATGGTATGAATCCTAATAATTATTCGATTTACGATGTAATTTTATATTATTTTAATGTTTAAAAGTTATAATAATTAATAAAATTGTATTTTATTGTAATAGTTAAGTTTCAATTGGAGATACACAATTAAACAACCAAACAAATATAATATTTCACACGTGGAAAATATTATCCAAAATACGTTGTTCGTTCTACTGTGTCGGCTATTTTAGAAACGCTGTCCATTCTTCGTGTCGTAATTATATTAAACTTTTAAGTAATTATTATCATTGCTGAAAAATGTTCTTCTATCGTACAGAACGAATGTCAGTACCGACAATGTACAATTATCTACGAGTACCTATTCAGTTTCCAACGAGCTATTTATCGATAGTGTAATGATGCACCTAATAATATATAGGTAATATATTACCTAAATATTATTATTTAACATTAACATATATGTTACGGTAAATATTGTGAAATCGGTTAGGTTGTTATATTCATGTACACTAAATGATTTTATGGCATTTATTTTAATGTAAGAGTTTATTGGCCTATAATCAAACTTAAATGTGAGAACATTGTTTGCGTTTATACGTTTGTTTTTTTCGATATTTTAAAATATAAGCGAGATAGGATAATTTTATCCTATCTCGATTTTAAGCATCGAGAGTGAATTTGTAAAATCTCTAGACCTATATGATGTTATTCAAACTTTTTTAAATTAAAAAGTTAGAAAAAATAATTATGTATAGATGAGGATGGACAATAGTGAACAGTTACAACAATGGCAATGACTAATCTACGAGTATATAGATAAAAATGGATCCCTGTTTCCCTTGATAATCGCATCACGCGTGAACGGCTGGACCGATTTCGCTAATTCTTTTTTTTGTTGTGTTCATAATTGTCAGGAGAAGGTTCTTATGCAATACAATTTTAGGAAAATCCACCGGAAAAGTACGGAATCTGGATGTAAAAACGTCATTGTCCAACAAGAAAATAAATTATATTTTTGTTTATTGTAAAGTCACTATTGGTTATGATTGAATACATAATAGTTATAATTTGTTGTTATATTTTGTCGAAACCGTAACAATAAAAATAAATATTACCGAAATCCCCCCGGAAATCTCAAATAATCACAGTAATAGACTAGCACACACGTTACTAAGTAATATACTTGGTTATAAAGAAGAATATAATAGTTTTCTTTAATTTACAATTGAATTTTCGTTTTTGAAAATTCCCGCAAATAGACGTACAAACTTAAGTCGCAGAACTCGCAATGCTGCGAGTCAAAGATATACAAGAGCAAGTCAAACTGACGAGCAACGCGAAGTGCGGAATGAAGTTGAACGGAATCAATGTGGAATTGCGTTCTTCATCTGTCGCTGCAACGCCTTCTTGCATAATACTTTTGAAGCCATAGTAAAAGTCGAATTACTCTGTTTTCGTTGAAGCTACTTGGACCTCTTCTATATTAGTTACCGGTGCGTGTAGCGTACTAGAGAACAATAATTTTACAAAATCGATTAGTTCGTCGTCCACGTCGTGTACAAAAAATTGTACGCTTGTACAATTGTACTCTTCTGCCACCGTTCCACCGCTTTCTCCGTTCGTTATTCGACCCTGTCCAGTAAAACCTGAAATTAATTGCGATGTTAATGATTTTAGTCTATCGCTTAGTAGTGTAATGGTCGTGAAATTGCGTTCTTCAACTGCAACGCCTTCTTCTTCACTTGGTTGGTCGTTTAATTTCCTTTCATTTGGGCGTTTGTAGTGGACATAGTACGCACAATATCCTACGAAACATAATCCTGCAGTTCCAACAGTGGCCGCCGCTACGTTGCATATAACTTTAGTTGCCATTATACAAGTCGTATTACTTTTCTCGGAAGCTACTTGGACTTCTAGTTACCAGCGTACTAGAGAACAATAATTTTACAAAATCGATTAGTTCGTCGTCCACGTCGCGTACAAAAAAAATCGTATTTAAGTAATAAGAGTAAACGACAACTTGATTACTCTTAAAAATCGAGACTAAAAAGACTGTGATTGATGATTACTCTTGAACTTGAAAGTTAAAATCGTTTAGAATAATAAAAAACTTTTTGTTGTTGATTATTAAAAATATTTATGCTGCGAGTCAAAGATATACAAGAGCAAGTCAAACTGATGAGCAATGTGAAGTACGGAATGAAGTTGAACGGAATCGATGTAATCGAAATCAACAACATAGAAATATTGCGTTTAACCCCTATCGAGCTGTATTCGATTATAACGTGGAAATCAATACAGTACACAGCAACCAATGAACCAATGAACCAATGGACCAATGAACGTTGTGTGCACATATTGCAAGGCATTTATGTTTAAAAATGAAGCTCCTGGATTGTGTCACTTTTTTTTTTATAAATTATACCAATTCGAATTCAATATTTATAATTAAGACAGGACAACGTCTGTCGGGTCAGCTCTTTTTATAATAAATATACATATACTTTAGTATTTACATATAATTTAAAAATGTATTTGACACGATTATATACTAAATATTATTTATATTCATAAATACAGTTATAAAAACCAAAATTTGTTTTAATTTGTACAATTTGACAATGCGCTATTCTACCAGATTGTTCATGTTATTACTATCCCTGAAGAATGTATTGAAAGCACTCCAAATATGAATAATGAATATTGACTAGAGATTGTGAACCTATGACAGTTTCACGCAGATTTGAATATAATTTATAATAACTGTTATTAGTATACATATTTTTATGTATATAATAAATATATTAACGACCTGTACTAGGTATTTCGTATATTTTATCATTTAACATTAGTTAAATTTATCTTACACATAGTTTATCAGCGATTAAATTTAATTAGGCAATTTAGCTTTTTATTTGATATTATTATTTAATGTGTAATTATGCAGATAATCATTATCAAATATGAAATATATACAAATATTTATGGGCCAGATAAGAATATTGTCTCACATCTTCCACACCCCGAGGTTATGACAGGCGCGCTCAGACGAACAAGTGTTGAGTGAGTCCTGGCCGTCTTTTTTTAGAACAAAGAACCCATCCTTTTTCCTGATCCGCCTAAATGTCTGGCTCCTCGCTCAATACCATCTTTTTCATAATTTTTAAAAAGACAAAAATTAAATATTCTCTTATTTTTACTCAATAACTAACTATTGTTATATTATAATATTAAGTTTAGCATCATTTCGTATTATTTCCACAATATATTATTTAAAAGAATTTAATGAAAAGTCACAATAATGTAGGTACTTGGTTTACTATAAAAAAACAACTGCAGTACAATGTTTAACATTTAATAATGTAGTTATTTAAATCATTTAGTATAGAATTTACTGAATAATTCACTAAAATTAAAATTAATACATAATTATACTCATTCTATCAGCAAGAATTCATATTTTATTAGCGTTTATCAAGATTGAGATAGATGTATTTAAGTAATAATTAGAGATTTAGAATGAATATTTATCATAACAACCTATCTAGTATCTTTTAGTTTCGGCTTACCAAAGATCATAAAATGACAAATCTGAAACAAATTTTTTTTATTAATAACATTTTAAATTCATAGAAACAGGAGTTGTATACAAATTAATCTCCAATAATGAGTGGTTCATTTTATTTAATATATAAATATGTTATTTTGCCTTTTTTTAAGAATAACAATATAATATTACATCTAACACACGCTTTTTTCAGTCTTTGAGATAATTTGTACTTCAAGTTCGTCTCAGAAATTAATGACAAAATTACCTAAATTTAACTACACGAGTTTTTTTATTGGTGAGTGATGAACGCGGTATACTTTGTTTTATGCGTTTTAATATATTACCATTACTTTTTTAGTAGATATAGTGAAGTGCTCTGGTACTCGTTAGTATAATGATCGTAAAGACTAAATTATAAATAGCTAAATATGATATATCGTTGTCTATATTATTACCTATCTAATTAAAATTCCTTCCCATTACCCATAATTTATGCAGTACGCACAGAAATAAACGATTTATAACGATAAATTGTTAATATTTCAAATAAATTAATAACGATTCATTTAAAAATCGCTTAAAAATAGTTTAAATAGTCTAATAAGAATGTTTTGAAAAATACGTACTCTCATCAGGTCCAGATGTTAATAATTGTAGTTTATAATTTACCCTTTATACTCAATAGAGAAATTTGCAGGATATGTAAATTATAGCCATATATTAGATATCATATTAATACATTATCATTATTCATAATGTGTATGAAATTAAAATAATATATAAATTCCAATCAAATTGCTTATCAAAAATAAAAGTATTCCGTAAATCGTTCGGTTTGAAAAATATGCCACCTTAATTGGATAAAAAAACACGTAGCTATTTCTCGACATGTGAAAAACCACGCCGCAAAGACAACAGTTAGGCAACGAATGATCACTCTCACAGTCTAAAAGCACATAAAACATTATCAGGCGCAAAGTGCAATCTAAGAGAGAGTGCTACACAGTGTTGAGGCTATTCTATCTAGATAAATCTTAAATGCCTATTTTTTATATTATCTAAATAAATATTTTTAAATTATCTTACTATTTACCTTGGATAAAAATGTCACTTACTACATATTGCTGTACTGTAATACGAATATACTACGCACGATGGATGGGTCACTGTTGTAGGTGAAAAACTGAGAAAATAGGATATAAAAGGTAATTTAATTTATATCTGTACGCAACAATAAACCATTGCTAATGACAAACGATTTGGAGCTAATTTTCTTACATTTTTTCGTTTATCCAACGATTTTCCCTGGTTTTCTCAATTATTTTATGTAAACCACTTGGAAAATAAAAAAAGTGACCTGTCAAAAATACCAACTAGATAAAAATAAATTTCAGAAAAGATGTTACACTTGATAAGAGCAAGATTTCTGGTAGAAAAGTTGCTCTCAGACTAAAAAGTAAAACAAATAATAATAACAAACATCATTACAAAACATTGCAATATACTTCTTGCTACGCTCCGAATCTAAAATGGTAAAATAACAAAAAAATAATTTTCTTTAACTATAATTAGTCACCTGAAAATATAGATACTAAAAGATAGTGTCTATTAATTTTTAAAAAATAACTTCCTATTAGATTATTACAAACAAAAAATAATTACTTATTTTTTAATCTAACTGAGAATTAATTTATATCCTAATATTTGTCAAGATACTTAAAAATAAATTATTTTAAATAGCAAAAAAAAATTATACTTTTCTTTTCAAATATAAAAATACATTCTTCGCTCCACTCATAAGCTGAAAATAGAATCATTTTAAAATAAATTACTATTTTATTGGAAAAATATTATATCTAATGATATTCACTTATTTTTGAAATGAAAGGGTTGTATTATATTAACAATCGTACAAAGCAATACATTATCGTTACAATAGTTTTAAAAAATCACTACACAAAAGTTTTTTTTTCAAAACAGTAAGAACGAAAAGATTCTTTCACCCCACAGCGCTTAATTTGACATTTAATTTTTCCATCGCCTTTTTCTGTTTATCAGACTGAAAATTAAATAATACCTTTCGGTATCAAAACATGAATTCTTAAATTTGTTAAATGCTTCTTCTGAATAATTTCAAAATCGGTAACCCAGAATATTTTCGTCTTCATGTGACGTATCCTTATTTTTATTTATTGGAAATATGACGTGTCCATTTAACTGATATTGCATCAAAACTTGCAATAAAATTTAACAAAACCATATGTATGATATACATTGAAAACTGAATACAAGTAAGTAGGTACACCAGCTTTTATTTTAAAATTGAAACTAAACATAATTATATGTCTATTTTATTATCCATAACCTAATGCCAATCCTAATACCATATGTATAAACAAACAAATATTTAATTTTCGTAAAACAATTTTTGTATGATTCACCCTATAAGTATCTTTATGAGTTGTAAAACGAAACTATAAATCCTCCCAGTCTCCAAGAATATGACGTGTATAGAATTTGGTGTCAATTTGTTCGTTAGTTTTTGATTTTATAGATTTGGAACGAAAACAAACACTCATTTTTATGTAGTAGACATAAATTAAATCACCCTATAATAATATTACAATTCTCAAAACTTTCCACCTACACAATGGCCCACCCATATTGGAAAGATGTATTTCAAAATAAACTCAAATATTTTTTTATATTTTACAAAAAATAAAAAATATAACAATTGTTTTAATCCGATAAATCCGTGAGAGTATTGTTCCTATATTTATTAATATAAAGTTTAAAGGTTTGTTTGCTAGTTAGTTTTTTTTTTTTTTTTGTTGTTGTGACCATAAGAAACCATCTAAAACACCTACTATTTAGGAATTTTACATACATTGAATACAAACTAACGAAATATTTTCAGTAGGTACCTAGTATACTGATTTATTAGTTGATAACTATTAATTACATCTGGAATGGATTTAAAAACTTGATACTTGTTAATAATTTAACTTACTTATTTATATTATATAAAATGTTTTTTTCTTTGTTTAGTGGTCACTTTGTTAATATTAACATCTATTGACCGATAAACTGATAAGAGCCGATGATTCAAGACACTCCTAAACATAATACAAATAATCAAATAATAATCAAAAGTTATAATATCCAATAGAAAATTAAGAATTACTTCTCATACTCGTCGAAATTATATTATACAGCTTTTATCGTTTTATGCGAAAAAGTATCATCTGGACGTTGTTGTAGAAACGGATAGAGTAGGTAAATAATAATATTTCAAATAAAACATTCAAGGTAAAAGAAATAGTTTTAATAATAAACAAAAAGTTTATAAATAATCTAAAGAATTTCAACTCTCAAGTACANTTACTCTCCATCATCAATCACAGTCTGCTGTCGCTTACTCATATTATTTCAAAACCTTAAGATTTCAACGAGATTCCGGTAAACAAAATACGACTTTACCTTTATACGATTATTAATATCTTAATATTGTATACCTATATATGTTTTATTTTCGCGTACGTTTTCGCGCGAACGATTTTTAGAAAATTAAGAATTACTTCTCATACTCGTCGAAATTATATTATACAGCTTTTATCGTTTTATGCGAAAAAGTATCATCTGGACGTTGTTGTAGAAACGGATAGAGTAGGTAAATAATAATATTTCAAATAAAACATTCAAGGTAAAAGAAATAGTTTTAATAATAAACAAAAAGTTTATAAATAATCTAAAGAATTTCAACTCTCAAGTACAAGACGATTACTCTCCATCATCAATCACAGTCTGCTGTCGCTTACTCATATTATTTCAAAACCTTAAGATTTCAACGAGATTCCGGTAAACAAAATACGACTTTACCTTTATACGATTATTAATATCTTAATATTGTATACCTATATATGTTTTATTTTCGCGTACGTTTTCGCGCGAACGATTTTTAGAAAATTAAGAATTACTTCTCATACTCGTCGAAATTGTATTATACAGCTTTTATCGTTTTATGCAAAAAAGCATCGTCTGGACGTTGTTGTAGAAACGGAAAGAGTAGGTAAATAATAATATTTCAAATAAAACATTCAAGGTAAAAGAAATAGTTTTAATAATAAACAAAAAGTTTATAAATAATCTAAAGAATTTCAACTCTCAAGTACAAGACGATTACTCTCCATCATCAATCACAGTCTGCTGTCGCTTACTCATATTATTTCAAAACCTTAAGATTTCAACGAGATTCCGGTAAACAAAATACGACTTTACCTTTATACGATTACTAATATCTTATTATTGTATACCTATATATATAATAAGAGAATTGCAATAAAACATTTTAATTAATTTTTTGTCAAGTCCGAGGAAATATTTTTAGAAGAAGCATAAATATTTGTATATTGTACAATAGAATCGAAAACTTGGTCAT